CTTCCTCCATCCATCCATCCGTCCCTCACTCACAGAGGGCCTCCCATCCTGTCAGCTCGACCCTTCAGCTCATGTCGGCCCTGGGCTGAATCCCAGATGCCCAATCCACCCATTGTGTGTGCTTGCACAGAAATAATAATAATAATAATAATAATAATAATAATAAAAAAAACTAAACGTGAGCACTAAATAGCCTCAAATGCTGTTGGGACTTTCCAGAGAAAGAGAGGGGATCTATAAATGAAAAGAATCCATCAATCAGTGTCACTTGTCCTCTGGCCCGCTCGGACAGAGCAGAATAATGTCATTGTGTGTTACTGTCCAGAGAGCTTCCCCTCAAATCCAGTGTCAGAGAGACGTGACAGGCTCATATACCAGATACAGGAGCGACACTGTCACCTTAATGACCTGTGGCTGATTTGGCTTCAACTTATGTGTTTGGATATCTTATGATGGCATGAACTGACAACAATATAACACGCAAGTATAGAACTGAGTAAAGAGTTTAATGTACTGGTCATTTAAGCTAATGCTAAATTAAATCTATGAACACTTAAAACAGGTTATAATTAAGTTTAGATATATTGTTATATTATTTTGATAAGTTGAGTTCATTTAAAAAACATGTTGTGATCAATTGATCATGCAGTTTTACAGTATATACAGTCAAAATTATTAGCCCTCTTGTGAAACTATTTAATATGAATTTTTTACATGTTTCTCAAGTGATGTTTAACAGGCTTGTGCACTGCTTTTAGCTCTGGAACAAATAGAATAAAAACAGCAATGTCAGTTTTTACTTTGCACAGATTGTATGTTCTGTTAACAAGCACTTGAACCTATGAAAACTGATTATCCTATGATTTTTAGCATAATAGAAATTTACTTTTTAAAGAAAAAAGACTTTGATATTTATTTCTGCTAAATACCTGGTCATATGGGATTCAGTAGTGAATATGCGTATAGATAAAGCAGCTTAGGTAACCCTTCAGTTGGAGATAACAGAATGTACAATTCCTATAGTTAACCTACACATTATGTACTGTATTATGTACTGGCATCATCAAAAAAAAAAAAGACAACAAGAAATGATTTATTACAAACCTTGTAAACGATTATGTTAAAAAATGTGTTGAAAAAATGTATATTAATAGAAAGATAGATAGATAGATATTGCATTCCTTGGAAATGAACGTGCAAATAAAGCAGTTAAGGAAGCCCTACGGTTGGAGAGATTTAAAATAATGTTTTAAATCTGTATATTAATGAGAAATGGCAAATGGAATGAGAATGCCGAAACAACAAATTGTATGAAATGAATCTATTTGTAAATGAAAGAAATAATAAAAATTTTCAAAATAGACATGACCAGGTTGTACATACGAGATGTAGAATCAGACACTCAAGACTAACACACTCATATTTATTGAAAGGGGAAGAAAAAACGATTTGTGACTTGTGTAAGATAATTTTGGTGATAAAAAATATTTTAGTACACATGGGAAATGTAATGGAATTGTTTGAAAAGGTGTCTTCTCGAGGGATTTTAGAAAATTGATCTTTAATCAAAGTAAAGATCGTAAAAAAAACATTTTCAGTGTTGATGCTATTTGTATGGGTTTTTTTGTACATTAAATGTTTGTTAAGAAACTGATATGATTATGTGTTCTATATAGAATAATTAGTTTAGTTTTTGCCATAATTTTCCAATGCTGCTGATATGGCATTAAAACATAAATAAATAAATGATGTTTAACAGAGAAATGAAATGTTCACAGCATTTCTAATATACCCTTTTGTCTTATGGTTAAGTCCTATTTATTTTAGTTAGTCTGTAATAAATGCATTTTTTTTACACTTTTTTTTTTTTTTTTACTTATTAACAATAATTAATCAAACCACTGTTATCCAGTAAATTACCAAATTAACCAAACCTGCCTATAGTTAACCTAAATGCAAAATACCTTGTAAAATATCATGTACTTTCATCCTAGGAAATTAAAAAAATAAATGAATTATAACTATTATGTTGAAAATTTGTCTTGAAAAAAAGTAGTTTTAGATTATCAGAACTTGCATGGATGGATGGATGGATGGATGGATGGATGGATGGAGAGATTGATGGATGGATGCATGAATGGATGGATTTGATGGATTGGATGAATGGATGGATTGGATGAATGGATGAATGGATGAATAGATGGATGGATGGATAGATGGATGGAAATTGAAGCGCTCATCAATCATCATTTATCCCGTCTGAGCTAAGCAGTGTAAGTCTTGTTGATTTGAGATGTAAAGCAGGAGGTTTCTGCTCAGTGACTCAATCATACAGTATAGCCTTAAAGCCTCTGTCTGAAATGGGCTATTAAAATAAGAATAGCCCCTGACCAGTGGCAGGATTAAGAAACGGCCCTGCTTATTTGTCCAGGCCCAGATGTAATACCTAAGCTTACCGACTGCAGAGGAAAGTGAAAATGTGTTGTTGAATTTATTTAGTCTCTTTAATGGACAAAAGATGGCGAGGGCGGGGGGCCTCGGTGGCCGGTCCGGGGTTTAGAAGCGCTGGGCTTCTTTAATTAGGGCTGTCCTGAGGGGGGCAGAGGCCTGTGGACAGAGCAATGAATGGAGAGGGAGGAGAAGAACATGAGTGGGGAGTTCTTGTTTGATTTGGAGGGTCAGACAGGAGCACCGGCTCAGATGGATTACCATTAGTGGAAATATATAAGCACATCACATAAATAATGATGATGGCGTACTATTTCATTGAAATGTGGTGGGTTGGATTAATCATTTATTGATTGACTCTATGGTTTGCTCTTTCAATTAAATATTTTTTAATTAAAGTATATTGTAACATAAAAATGTGGTCAGCAATAGTTTAGCAAACATACTGGGACATAATTATTATTTATATTTTAATTTGTTTTTAAATAAACCAAGTCAAACCTTTTCTTTAACTCCACCTTAATTTAAATGTTGTTTTGTTGTTGAATTAAAGTGATTAGTATAAGTTTTATTCGGTGTATTAAAATGTGCTTCCTATATTTTATTTAAGCAATGTTAAATCCATTGTAAACAATTATTTATATAGTTCTACAATATATACTTTATTTAAATTATGTAAATTTTACAAATAATATATATATATATATATATATATATATATTACAAATATATATATAACATATATATATATATATATATATATATATATATATATATATATATATATATATATATATATATATATAATAAATAATACATATATGTGTGTGTGTGTGTGTGTGTGTGTGTGTGTGTGTGTGTGTGTGTGTGTGTGTGTGTGTGTGTGTGTGTGTATGTATGTATGTATGTATGTATGTATATATATATATATATATATATATATATATATATATATATATATATATATATATATATATATATATATATATATTCATATAATGGTAACACTTTACAATAAGGTTTCATTTAATGTATTTATGAACTATGAACAATACTTGTATAGCATTTATTAATCATAGTTTAACATTTACTAATGCTTTAATAAAATCCAAATCCAGGTTTGTTAACATTAGCTAATGCACCTCGAGCTAATGTGAACTAACAATGGACAACTGTATTTTCATAAACTAACATTTACCCTTTAACTGCCCCGTCTAAAAAAAAATTGGATTGCATTTCTTAACTCTTAATGTCTCTATTTAACACACTCAATGCATTTTTTTATCTGCATAATTTTTAAAATATCAGCCTCCACCCAATGGTAGATATGTCAGTTTAAGAAGTGTAAGACCGATTTATTTAAAAACATAATCAAAATAAAACATTTTTGAATACTAAACTATCTTTATTTTTGTAAAGTATGCCGTGAAATATTTCAGATTCCGTTTAACACCTTTTCCTGTATTTATTTATTTATTTTTTAACAATAAAACCTAAATCAAGTGTAGTAGTGCAGCAGGATATTGTTTTTTTTTTTTTTTTTGTAAACCAACAATGCTGTGTAGTGTAAAGCATTATTTAAACCAGTGATTCTTTAAATGACTTTAACAGTCATTATTTAAAACAATTTGTGGTCAACCATTTGATAGAGCAGGCAGTTAAAATATGAACTAATACTTTAATAAATGTATTGTTCATAGTTTGTTCATGTTAGTAAATGCTTTAACTGATATTAATCTTATTGTAAAGAGTTACCTTGTATAAATACAAAGGTTACATTTTAGTTTAGGTCACAATTCAGGCATTAACAAACCATTATCTAATGCTACTTGCTTCATAAACTACTAATAAGCTGTTTTTTAATAATTAGTAAGATAAAAGTTGGGTTTGAGTAGGATTAGAGATCAAGTTTATACTTTATAGCTACTAGTGAACAGTTAAAATCTAAATGCAAAATCACTCTGGACCCCTATATATCCAGCACACTTCCTGTTTGAACTGTTACCGTCTGGTCAGCGCTACAGAGCACTAAGCACAAAAACCATTTACCTCATGAACAGTTAAATATTCCCCTACCGTGCAATAAACATGTGCAATACTTTTTTGACACTTGTCACTTTACTTTATGTACACTGGAAGCTTCTGTAGCCAAAACAAATTCCTTGTGTGTGTAAAGGCAATAAAACTGATTCTAATTAACAATAGGCAGGTAAGAAGCTGGTAGTTAATAGCATGAACTGTAACTAAAGTGTTACCATTACAAATATGTTATATAAATAATTACAAAGTCATATTGTTGTTGTTTGAGTTAACTCAAAACACACACATTAACATATTATTGTATACATTTACACACCTAAGCACGAGCACTTTTTTATTTTGTATTTCGAGCATTGCTTGTAATGCACCTTTGTTCGGAAGTTATTAAAGTAAAAGTTGACAATTTTTTGGCTGACATCTGGCTCAGGTTAGAGAATAAGGACTTGTTTTATGTTACTATTTTTTTAAGCTTGTCTCTGTCTACATATACTAACATGCGCACATACACACAGATGCAGACCGAGCTCAGAAACATGGAATGGATGAGTTCATCTCCGCCAATCCTTGCAATTTTGACCACTCTTCCCTATTTGAGATGGTTCAGCGGCTCACACTGGACCACAGACTCAATGATTCCTACTCCTGCTTGGTAAGTCAGCTTTTCAATCAGTTTTATCTTTCTTTCTCTCCCAAAATGAAGTGCATTAGTGTAAACAGTGCCTGATTGTGTGTCTCAGGGTTGGTTCAGTCCAGGCCAGGTGTTTGTATTAGATGAGTACTGCGCCAGGTATGGAGTTCGGGGTTGTCACAGGCACCTGTGTTACCTGAGTGATCTGCTCGAGAGGGCAGAGAAAGGATCCATGATCGACCCCACACTACTGCACTACAGCTTTGCCTTCTGCGCCTCTCATGTTCATGGCAACAGGTATCACCGCTCTCACACTCTTGATCTATTTCTCACCCTCTTTCTTAACAGCCACTTCAGTTCATTCTCATTTGTAAGCACATTAATTCTCAAATCATTTATCTCTCATGTTCTCTCTCTGTCATTCATCCTGTACTCTCGCCTAAAGCTCTGTCTGCTCTCCTCCTCCTAAAATCCCTCCATCCCTCTTCACCGTCCTGCCTTTTTATCTGTCTATACATCCACTGTCCACTCATGGTCACAAAGAGAGGTAAAGTAAAACAAAAAAGAGCGCATACACTCTACCTTGGGCTGGCAAATGGATCTATTTTTCCATTATTTGTGGAAACTCCATCCTTTCTTTTTACAGATTTGTGGAGTCAGGTAATGATTCTCTCCCAGAAATGCACAGCAGTATCAGAGCTCTTACAAGAAGCTCAAGTTGCCTCATTACTTGGTTCACAGGAGTCTTTGGAGTAACTACAGTTCCCTTTAACATTTCACATCCCACGGTTATTTAAATATATACATATACAGTGGGGGAAATAAGTATTGAGCATGCCATGTTTGTTACTGGGAATAATATTTCTGAAGGAGCTGTTGACATGGAATTGAACCAGATTTTGGTAAAACCCAAAACCCATTATTTATTTATTTTTAATTTTTTTTTAAATACTGAAATGTATTTAATACTTTATATAAAAGGCATTTTGGTTATAGCAACTTAAAGACAACTCTCATATGGAGAATAAATCGAGACATGAATCTCTCAAGTGATTGTTTTCACAGACGGCAATGGAGTGTAAAAATCTTGATGGTTCTGTGGGTCTCGGCTTTCATATCTGATCTTTATTTTGTATTTTCAATTGGATTCAAGTCGGGTGATTGGCTGGGCCATTCTACAGCCTGATTTTCTTTTTTCTGAAAGCATTTGAGAGTTTTCTTGGCTGTGTTTTGAATCATTGTCTTGCTAAAATGTTCACCCTGTTCTCACCTCAATCATCCTGGTAATGTAGATGTTGGCCCGAAGCAGATAATATTTATTTACAATGATGAAGGGCAGGGGGTTGCTGAATAACTTCTAGAATTTTAGCTTCTTTATGGGCTTTTACTGTCTGTCTACACCTCCCTTTCTTCATGTGTTCAATACTTTATCCCTGTGTCATTTCTAGGTATTGCACATAACTTTATTTGTAAACTAATTTTTTTTTGTTTTCTTTGCATATATGGATTTCTTTTGTTGCTACCAACATCCAGTGAAAAATTCAATTCAACAGCACCTTTAGAAATGTGTTTTCTGAGGAAAATGGTGGTTTGTTCAATACTTATTTCACCCACTGTATATAATAAAAACATTCATTTAAATATTGCAATGTAACAAAATGGCTATTAGCAGACACTATTTAAATAAAAAAGTAAATAAAGATAAGCTAACAAATGAATAAATAGTATAGCCACTATCTTTAACTTTTGCTTGTGCTCTGATTCCTTTTGCATGTGGCTTATTAGTTTTTCATCAAAAACATTTTTATATAGAGACACATATTTTAAGATATTATATATAATATATTTTATTTACAAATAAACAAACAAACATACATACCGATCAAAAGCTTGGGGTCAGGTTTTTCATGTTTTTTTTTTTGTTTTTTTTTTTAATTGTTCTGTTTAGTAAGGTGGCATTTATTAAATGTAAAAAAAGTTGCTAAATTGTTAAATACTTATTAATTTAATATTTATTTATCACTTATTGCGTGTAATTTCAAATAAAATTATTACTTTAGTCATTATTGCTTTTATTACTACTACCATCAATAATAATAATAATAATAATAATAATAATAATAATAATAATAATAATAGAGTGGTTTCTGAAGGATCATTTGACTCTAAAGACTGGAGCAATAAAGCTGAAAATTCATAATTAAAATCACTAGAATTAATTATTAAATTCAATTATAATACCGTATTTTTTAATAAATAAAAGCAGCCTTGGTGAGCAGGTGAAGCTTATTTTAAAACATTTAAAAATCCTACTGACCCCAAACCTGTAGTTTATATTTACAGATATATGTACAACATATGTACAAATAAATAAATAAAGTGGTAAGATGGTAAGATACTAATGATAGTAATCATCATCATCATCATCATATTTTCAGATATAATCCTCATTCTGATTTTTTTTTTTTGAAGAACAAAATAGCTTCTTCCTAATTCATTAATCAGTTATTATATTAGTATAGTAGTATAGAGTATGATAAATAGTTTTACATAAAATGTAACATAAGAAATATCCAAATATTTGTTTTAATGAAAAGGTCATTTATTAAACACAAAAGTAAATAAACAACTAATACTGTTAAATCTCTATTTAGTTGATTTGTGCTCTTTTGATTTGACCTTTTTAGTGATATTGTTTTATTATTTTTATTATCTGGACCTATGAGAAAGAACTCCTGCTTCCTTTTGCATTGGGCTGATTTGTAAACAACATAGAAAGTGGATTACTGCCCCCAACATTCACAATCTCCTCACATTTTAGTCTTCTTATTATTGTATGCAGTATATTTTATTTATATGTAATATTATTTTTTATATATATGTAATCTTATTTTTTTCTTTCGTGACTAACATTCAGATAATTTCTTTAATTAAATGTTTATTTATTTATTTTTAGTTTCTGCCTGTTTTTTTTTATTCTCATTGTTTTCTGCATGATTTATGTTATTTCTCTTCTTCTTTTGTTTCTCGTTTACCCTCACACCATCTTTCGATAACCTTTGTGAATGTGCACCTTTATGAATGAACATATGTGTGTGTGTGTGTGTGTGTGTGTGATTTGAAGCCAAAGAGTGACTGAGCTTCTGAAATGGCCCGTATCAGAGACGGAGCTACTTAGTTCTCTGTTTCCCTCCCCCCCTGAGCCCTTGACCCCCTCTAAAAAAGAGAACAGAATCATGGAGGTCTGGAGAAAAAAGTCGCAGGTGCTCACAGGCTCCAGAAGGTGAGAATTTAAATGCAGGCCTCTTTTTGGTCTGGGTGAACAGTAAGCTTCACCCTTAACCTGTGAAACTGGGGAAATGTGAGTGAGGGGCAATTTTTTACATTGTTTTTGTTTATAGCATTATTCGTTGTTTTGTGTCTTGCGTTTTATTCTATTTGTTGGTTTTATTTCCTTTTTTTATAGTGTGCAAAATAGCAGCTTTATATAGTGTACAGTTTTTAATCTGAGATGGCTTGTGAAATTTCTTTAAACATGTAAAGTCACAATTTAAAGAAAAAAGGTCATAATTTTTAGATTATTGTGAGCATTGATAAAAAAATCTGACAACATCTGATGATGACTAATGATTTCTGCTAATTAATTTTGCCTTACATTTAGGCTTTTTTCTCACAGTTTAGAGAAGGAACTCTGTATTGTGAGGTATACAGTAGCAAATATACAATTTTATGATCTCTAAAGTTATTAGGTTTTCTTACGACTTTATTGATTTTTTTAAATTTCTTTTATTAATTTTCCTGCAAATTAAATTTATACCTTACCATTTAGATTTTGTTACATATAAGTTTATTCAAAATAATTGTAATAAAATATAATATTATTATGCTCCGATCATGATTTTTGCAGCCGATGCGGAGAACCAGTTCCTTGTCTTGGTGATCAGACGATACAGAGCATTCTGATGCTCAAGCATTAAGTACATTTTCTCTCTAAGATGACTCCAGAGAATCAATTAAGGATGTAATCCCTTGAACACGTCTCTTATAATCATTTAGTGTGGACATGCTATGGCCAGAAGCAGCTTTACAGAAAATAATACAACACAGATAAAAAAATTCCTCTGTGTGTAAACTCTTCAACCTACCACCTGTGATCGGTCATGAGATCAGCCAGATTGGCAAGTACCGATCGAGTCATTGAATGTGACTATCGGGCGATACTCTGCAATCAGTCATGAGATCAGCCAGATTGGCGAGTACCGATCGAATCACTGAATGTGATTATCGGCCGATACTGATCAGAGCATCCTTAATTATTATTATCTATTAGTAATTATGTCTTATAGATTTTAGGCTTTCTTGCAATTCTGACTTATTTCTCAGTTCTTAGTTTACATCGCCCAATTGTGACTTTTTTATGTATAATGTAACTTGTATTTATAATTCTAATTTTGAGATTTTCTGAGTTTTCAGACTTTGTGAGTTTATATCTAAAAAATTCTAAAAAAAAAAAAAAAAAGAATTATGACATTATTTTTTAAGTTAAATCTGAGGTAAAGTTTTACCATTTCAACTTTTCTGTATTTGGCATATTTATATATTAAAATATATAATTTCACACACACACACACATACTTACAGTGCTCAACATATACAGTATAATTACCTCCCTTTCAAATCTATCTTTAAAATTCATAGTTTTAATATGAAGCTTTACAATATTATATTTGTGCATATAGATTATTAGATTAGTCAGTACTGAAGCCAAATCTGGAGCTTATCTAACAAGATAACTTACGATAACAGTCCAAAGACTAGCAGACCCAAATTTATATGTTATCGAAAAATATTAAATACAAATTTAAAAAGAGGAAAAATCAAGTGAAGCAAAAAAATTGAAAAATTTAGTTGAGATTTTTTAGGTTGTAATTTCTTTTTGCATATTTTACTTGAATTTAATTGTATTATCTTTCAATTTCTAAATATGTTGGGTGACTAAAATATATAAATGAACCAAAATACATTGCCTATGTTCACTGAGAAATGGATCAAATTATTCATTTTCAAAATAGGGTGAACTCAATTATCCTGAGCACTGTGGAAATACTTTTTGATGTATCTCGCCATTTCTGAATTAAATTCTCGTAATGTTGAGCTTATATCTTGTAAGCTTTCTTGTATATATTTCTGACTTTTTAAAATAAGTTTCTCACAAATCTGACTTTTGAGTTCATACCTCACAATTAGGACTTTTTTCTAAGAACTGTGACTTTTTTTTCTTGCATTTGTGACTTAATAGGCTTTCTTACTTTTTTTTCATTTCTTACAGTTTTTGGTCCATATCTCACAAAATTACGTAGAACTATTATTTTATTTATTTATTTATTTATTTATTTAATTTTAATTTTTTTTTTTTAAATCTTGTAGCTGAAGCATTTAGACTCCACCGCATGCCTGAATTTATATTTGTGTGACAGTGAGAGAGAGAAAAATGAGGATGAGCAGGCAAACAGAAAGTGATAGACATGTGTCGAACCAGTGAGAAACATGACGGCTAAAGAAAGAGAAAGAGCGAGGGAAACTATGGATGCTGCCTTAAGGTCATGGCTGACAGGATGACAGGTCATTGCTCTGTCTCTCCATCTCTCTTTCCAAACTGTCCGAGGCCCATGCTTGTGCCAAAACCTCACGTCCAGCCAAACACGCTCTTTATAGCTGACATGGCCCTCAATCTTAACCTCTTGGCACTGGACTGCTATTCTGATGTATATTTAAAGCCAAATAATCTACAAGTGTTACAGATGGCGACCGTGGCTCTGTAATGCTGTTTGACATGATGCTACTGCACCATTACCATATCTGGATAATCATATCTCATAACACGCTATTATGAATATGCATGAGGATGTGTAGTGTTAATAAAGGGATCAAAAATGGAATTAGTGTGGGAGAACAAAATCTTTTGTTTAGCATGTGGGTTATTATTGTCTGCAATAGAATATATCTTTGTAGGCAGGGTACACAAACAGTCATAGTGATATTGTATATATATATATATTTTTTTTGATTAAGATTTATAGATAATGAAAGGTTTTGGGTAACACCTTAAAATTAATGGTCCATTGGTTAATGTTAATGTATTTAATAACATGAACAAACAATTAGTAATACATTTATTGCTGTATTTATAATCTTTGTTAACATTAATATTAGTTATTTAAGTTGAAAAAATGTTATAGTTCATGTTAGCTAATGTTAACTCACTGTTCATTAATTAATGTTAACAAGCACAACTTGCTTGCATTAGCAGGCGCGTAGCCAGCCCGGCGCAAGTGGTGTTTTTTTTTTTTTTTTTCTCAAAAAACTGTACTTCTTTACTGTTATTCGCCTCATTTTCTATTTAATTATGAGACTTAAGTACTGAATTTAGGTGAATTAGCTTGTCGGATGGTCATCATAAGCAAACTTTTTGTGCAATTATTTACACTAAAGAAATATGACAAATATTTATTTTAAAATACAAATAATCATAATATAATAATAATAATATCATTAGCAAAAACTGTAGCCTATTGTAATTTGCTAGGCAAATAACAAACTTAATTATCAAACTACAAGATTATTCATACTTACTCAACGTTACATTAACTAATGGACCATTATTCTAAAGTGCTGCCTATTGATGATGCAAATCTGGAATCTAAATACTCAGAAAATTGCATTTAGTCATCTAAACAAAGTGCTTAGAATGCATATTACTAATTGAAAATCAAGTTTTGATATGTTACATTAAGAAATTAACATGTTAATGGAAGATCTTTTCTTAATGTTCTTGTGATTTGAGGCATAAAAGAAAAAAAAATCTAATCAAAAAGCGTCTGCTAAATGACTAAATGTAAATGTAAATTTGTCTTGTTTTGTGATCTAGACTCCAGGGCCACATTAAATAATATTGTTTAAAAGTGATAATAATATAATATTTTAAATGTATATAAATTAGGGATGTGCCGATCAGGTTTTTTTGTCCCCATGTCCAAGTCATTTGAGGATCTACCGATACCGAAACCCGATCCGATACTTTTATAAAGATATGATATGCTTCTGTTAGGTAGCTTGAACAATCAAGTAATAAATAGCATAAATTCTTGACTTTTGGGTACATATTTTAAAAATCCAATATAAAAAGAAATAGCACCTCAACTTAAAATACTCAGCAGGCAATCCCAATTTACATATCTCACAGTTTGCTATGGCATCGCTGTCGTCATCAATTTTACAATACATCCTGACCGCAGACATACTCGCGCTTTCTGCTTCAAAGTGCTTCTGTGTTCTACTTTGCAGGTATTTCACCAAAAGCGTCTCTGCCAGTTAAAAAGAGGTCTAACTCTGTGCCAATGCATAACTAAGCATAACTATAGATGTGTTCAAAATAATTAGAATATATACATATTCAAGTTCTGATCGGGAGGTAACGTCTGATTCCGATGGAGTCTGAAACCTTGTGATCTGTCCTGATTTCCGATCACTTCATCGAATCTGGACATCCCTGAAATAAATGAAACAGTTTCATAGTACAATGTTGGCAATACTATGGTATTGTGATTTTCATTGCATTGAGAAAATTATTTTTCTTTTGTGGTTGTGTGTACTGTACATGTTTGTGTGGTTGTGGGTTTTATTTATTTATTTTTATTTTATTTTATTTTTTGTAGTTTTTTTGTGATTTTGATAAAAAAGTAATCTAATCAAAAAGTAAACTAATCTGCTATTGTTATTTATTTTTGTAGTTTGCTTTGTATTTGTAGCCTTGTTTTATTTTTCAATTTGTTTTCTATTTGTGCTATTTTTGTTTTAGGGATAATTGTTTTATTCTATTATTTACATTTTCTGTTTTACCGTCTTCCCTGACACACAAAAACCTATAATGTCTTCTCGCTAGTCCATCTTTTATCCATCAGTTTTGTTGTGACACACAGCTAGAACAGAAACACACTCACAGCCGACGTATGTCACCTGCACGCAGTTTAACACAAAAACACACACACACGCTTATGCAGAATGGGACTAAAGGGCCCGACTCCTTATCGTTTGTGACATGGTAGATGAAAGCAGGGCTGTGAGCAGAGTGTATGTGACAGTGGAGGCGCGGGCCGGCCTGACAGCAGTTTGAGGAGCAGGAGACATGACACGCTCCTCGTCAGGCCTGCACACGCTGAAGGACAGCAGGGGAGAAGCCAGAGAAGGGGGCAGGGATTTCAAGGGGGAACACACACCAGACAGGGCCCATCGCTCTGTAGGGTTTTTTGGGGGGGCTGGTGACCAGCTCGCCCCCTCTGGTTCACAAAAATACCTAGTTGTACATGAGAGATGTATATAACTAGGCATTATCTTATCAATAAGCAAGATCAGTTGCATGAATAAGGTTTTATGTAGAAATTCTTAACACCTCAGTTTAACTACAGTACTAATTCTCACTGTTAACTAATGGCTTATTTACAGTAAAATCTAGTACAGGTTAACATTATATTAAAACATCTGTTTATATTTTTCAAAACAATTAACCACAGAGTTATGGGATCAGAAAAATATCAATCTGTAAACATGTTTTAAATTATAAATGAGGAAAGTAAGCATGCATTATGGATGTGACCAAAAATCTGCGAGTTTACTGTATACAACATACTTAGTAGAAATTATGTGAATTAAACTGCACAACCCAAAAGAAACAATGATAATCAAAAGGATAAGAGTTGGCTCACTATAGAACAAAAAATATTGATTTTATTTTTAATTAAAATGTTTGCATTTATAATGAAAAAGCTTTGTTATGGATGTGACATCTTTGACAGATGTGACATTATTACTTGTGTGACTTTGTGAAATCAAATATGTTTGAAAACATTGACAGAGACATGTTTGAGCATTTATTAAGTACTGTAAAATACTTCCTTACACAACAAACATAGAAACTGTTTTAATATTTTGGTGAAAACCTTTTTTAATTTTTTAATTTTTATTTTTTTCATGGCAAGGTTGACATTTGCATGGAATTGCTCCTATGATCAACATATTGGCTGTTTATAAGTATTTATAATGTTCATATTCTGTGTAATCTTATTCTACATCCCCAATCCTACATAAATCTAACTACTACCTTAATAACTACTGCTTAATAACCAGCAAATTAGGTTTATGGAGTTTATTGATGCAAAAGTCATAGTTAATGGCTAATTAAAAGTGAGAATGAACATCAAAATAAAGTGTGATCTTATTTACCTCATTGACTTGCAACTGTTTATTTATAAGCTTTCTCTGTAATACATTAGAAAAATGTGTACTATTAAGAAGTTGCTTTTAAACATGTCTATTGGCTCTTTATTACATCTACTTTACTAACTTTTAATAAGCAGCAAATTAAAAGTTTATTGAAGCAAAAAAAAAAAAAAAAGAGTAAATGGTAACAAACTATTTATATGTGCTGAATTTAACCAAAGATAAATTGGACAAAAGCACGCTCATCCCTCTTAATTGGGTGCTCAGCCAAAAAACGCAAGAGGTGCAAATTAAATTTATCAAAGGTGGCAACACCAAAGCTCCAAAAATACAAATTTATTAAAATCAAAAAGCTGACACAAAGCGTATTTCTGAATTTAAACAAACAAATTACATTTAGCAATGTTTAACTTAATTTGTTTGTTTAAATTTAGCCAATCGTAATTGTTTGCAACCACTTACCTAAAAAAAGGAAATCCAATTACTTATTTTTTCTGTGTAAATATATACAATATAGTATAATATTGTGTTTTTAAGGTGTTACTGTATATTGTTTCTCTATACTTTCTCTGTCACTCCTGGTTTTTATTTATCTTGTTTTGACTTGTTCTCTTGCAATTCTTGCATTTATAGGTTTGTCTCCCATAGTTCTGGTTTTTATCTTGCAGTTCTGACATTACTCTCCTTAAACAATGAGTTAGTACAATTTATCACAAGTCTGAAAATAATGACATGTTTTGTTGCTACTGTTCCTTGATAACGCTTCTTTAACTATCTCTCTCTCAGTTTTGAGTTCATCGTTTAGTCATCATCCACTTTTTTCAAACCTGTTTGAGTTTCTGTCTTCAGCTGAACACATAGGAAGATATACTAAATATTGTTTGTAAAAAGAAACTATTGACTTCTATATGTTTACTATGATTTTTTTTCCTTCTTCATATCTTGTTTGTGTGTTCAACTCAAGAAGCATTGAGTGTGAGTAAATAGTAAGAAAATTGTGTGACTTCATTTTATGGTAAATTGTGGTAAAACAAATTTCAGTTTTGCACATTTTTGCAAATATCAGTTTTTGTGCATTTACTAAACATGAATTAACACTGTGCATCATGGTCATTTGGCTAATAAGCTTAGAAGTGGCACTAGACATATCAGATGGTCTGTTTCACAGCCTTTTTCTCTCTGTTTTGGAGTCACAGTAAAAATCTTGTGTGTGTGTGTGTGTGTGTGTGTGTGTGTGTGTGTGTGTGTGTGTGTGTGTGTGTGTGTGTGTGTGTGTGTGTGTGTGTGTGTGTGTGTGTGTGTGTGTTTGTGTTTGTGTGTGTGTGTGTAGTGAGTGGTTGAACTTCTGAATGCTGTCAGCAGGGGTCTGTGGTACCGTTATCCCCACCAATGTCTTTGTATTGGGAAGGACTTTTTTTTTTGGCCATGACCATGAACGGGGGTTGGGGAGTGGTTTTGAGATTAGGCATTTTTAAAGACCCTTGCCCGAGGAGAGGGTGACAAACACACACACACACACACACACGCACGCACGCACGCACGCACACACACACACACACGCACAAACACACAAACAAACATACACACAATTCCGCAGACATTAGTACCTAAAATGCATGGCACAATTGCACATATTTTAGAGTGATTAAAATGATCACTAAAAAATGTCTTTTCTTAATAGAAGTTGGTTTATTGCTTTTTTTCTGTGACTGATATAAATGTCAAGTAAGCTGTAATCATTTGCCTGACCAAGTAAATCTATTTATCTATCTATCTATCTATCTATCTATCTATCTATCTATCTATCTATCTATCTATCTATCTATCTATCTATCTATCTATCTATCTATCTATCTATCTATCTATCTATCTATCTATCTATCTATCTATCTATCTATCTATCATCTATCTGTCTGTCTGTCTGTCTGTCTGTCTGTCTGTTTGTCTGTCTGTCTCTGTCTGTTTTTTATTTTTATATTTTATTGATCAATTTATTTATCTATCTACTTATTTATTTGTCTGCTTGTTTGTTTGAACTATTTTGTCTTGCATTTTTAGCCTAGTTTTGCTTTATTTTTGGGTGGGGTGGTGGGGTGGTTGGGTTGACTTGTGATTTTGTTTTTATTTTGTTTTTGATTTGTCGGGTGTTTTTTTTATTTGTTTGGTGTGTGTGTGTGTGTGTGTGTGTGTGTGTGTGTGTGTGTGTGTGTGTGTGTGTGTTGTTTTCTTTGTTGCTTTTGTAGTCTTGTTTTGTGGTTTTTGCTTTCATGGTTGTTTTTGTAGTTTTAGGGAGGATTTTGTTTTGCATTATCACCTCCATCCACAAAAAAGAAAACAGTCACAAAAGTCTTCCATAAAGACACCTGATATACCAGATTTACAGACTAAATGGTCGCCCACTGAAGCTAAGCAGGGCTGTTCCTGGTCAGTACCTGTATGGGAGACCACATGGGAAAGCTAGGTTGCTGCCGTAAGTGGTGTTAATGAGACCAGCAGGGGGCACTTGACGTTTGGTCTGTGTGGCGTCTAATGCCCTAGTATATTGATGGAAACTCTATACTGCTCAGTGAGTGCCGTCTTTCAGATGAGACATTAAACCGAGGTCCTGACTCTCTGTGGTTGTTAAAAATATTTTTAGAAAAAGAGTAGGGGTTTAACCCCGGCATCCTGACCAAATTTGCCCACTGGCCTTTGTCCATCATGGCCTCGTAATCATCCTCATATCATAACGTCTCCTTTCCACCAACCAGCTGGTGTGTGGTGTGCGGTCTGGTGCAATATGGCTGCCGTTGCGTCAGCCAGATGGATGCTACATACTAGTGGTGGATGAGGAGATTTCCCCCAAAAATTTGCTTTGAGTGTCTAGAAAAGCCCTATATAAATGTAAGGAATTGTTATTATAGTACATGCAAAAGTCTCCATATAACTTTTACACATTACATGAATGCATAGAAAAGTATAATAATTTTGGCTCCTCTAGGAAAAATAAATAGTGTCTTATTCCTATAGTGTCTTTTTTCCCTTTTGTAACTGTAGTTGCTGGAATCTCTCACTAACACACTTTCTAAACTATGCACTTAAATAAGGCAGCCATAAGTGGAACTTCATTTATACTGCAAGTATAATATTCATCTGTGGCCTGTTTGAGATCCTTCATGAGACCTTGCGATTGTATCTGTGCCTCTTGTTATCACAATGAGAGGAGCAGTGGCATTTATTTGTTTTCTTTGTGTGTATGTGTGTGCGTGTGTTTCCCATCAGGCCTGATGGAATCGGTACGGTTTTAGTCAATGAGAAAGAACATTTTGAAGAAATCAAAGAACGACTGCGGGTCCTGCTTGAAAACCAGATCACACACTTCAGGTACATCACTGTCAGACAGTTTTGTTATTTTGACTTGTTAATTTATGCTCTAGATGACAATGTATATATTATTTCCAATTTGCAGGAACTATCAACAGTTGTTCACAGAATAAATCCAGAGAAATTGAGAGTTTTAATGCATAAATATACAGCTAAATGTGTATGTATGTATGTATGCATGTATGTGTGTTTACTGTATATACTGTATGCAGGGTAAAACTATATATCCAATAATTATCTTTCACACATGAGTGTACATAAGCTAAAACTGTACTTGTAAATGAAGGACAAGAATATTTTTGTTCTTTATGGAGATTTCTAGCAATGTTGAATGTGTTAGTATTTAAAAGCAGACTATAACCGCCTGTAAAATGTTCTTTTAACAGGTATTGCTTTCCATTTGGACGGCCAGAGGGAGCCTTAAAAGCCACGTTGTCACTGCTTGAGAGGGTCTGTTCTTATCTTTAACAATTTTATCTTGCACTCAGTCTTTTTACTAAATAAGAGAATTTTATTTCAGCAGTTTATTTTCAGATATTATAAACATAATTTGATTATATATCATGGTAAACAAAGTAAAAAATATATATTTTTACTTTAACATTAAATAAAAAGCTATTAAAACATAAAAATGCAACAAAATAATTATAAAGATAAAATATTAACTATTTTATTGACAATATTGAAAGTATAAAATTAACTGTTTATTATGTGTTAATTAATCAAAGTGATTTTATGTACATTTTAGTTTTTCTGATATTTTCCAAGTGCTGCTAATTTTTAAACACATTTTAAATCTAATATTTTATAACTAATTTATTTTTTTCTTTGTCATGATGAAGGTACAAAATGTTTTCCTAGTTATTTTGCAAGATACTAGTATTCCGCTTAAAGCGCACTTTAGAGACTTAACTAGGCAATTTAGGTCACTCAAGTTAGTTTAAGCAAGTCCTGGGATAACTGTGGTTTATTTTATAGCCAATTGTAAAAAATAAAACAATTTAGGGGCCTAACAATATTGACATTTTCTTTTATAAACTGTTTTTATTCCAGCCAAACTAAATGAAACAAGGCTCTTTTTTACAGAAGAAAATAGTTATTAAATAATATAGGAAATTTTGTGAAAATGTCCTTGTTCAGAACTTGGTAATTGAAAATAATTGTAACTAAAAATACAGGAGGGCTATTATGTTAATTATATTGAATAAGTAAATATTTGATAAGTTTAAATAACCCAGCTACTCTCAAAAGTGAGCATGCAGTTGATTTGTGATGTTTTTCAGGTCCTGATGAAGGACATTGTGACCCCGGTTCCTCAGGATGAGGTAAAGGCTGTGATCCGCAAGTGTCTGGAGCAGGCAGCTTTAGTCAATTATCAGCGCCTCTCAGAATATGCCAAGGTGGAAGGTAGGAAGCTTGTGTTTCTACTCCTCTTCAGCAACACAGTGCATATTCCTGTCTCTGAAACTGTGCTTAACAACAGTGATGATTAACTAACCCCCATTATACAGAAGTCGTGCTGAAATGCAACTGATATTGTTTATTTCAAAACAGGAAAGTTCAGGAGAACTCATTAAAAGTCAATATGTTATTTTGGGATTTTTCAAATAAGTTTATAAGTTAAATAAATAAATATAATATTATGAATCAATTTTTTTTATTTGTAATGTTTATATGATTTCATGTTGTTATTATTATTATTATTATTATTATTATTGTTATTATTATTATTATAGAAGCTATAAGCTGCAGATTTATAAAACTGTGTGGTAATAAATATAATCATTAAGAAAGGTTTATTATTTTAATAAATTATAATTTTATGAACCCATGTTTATTATTATTATTATTATTATTATTATTATTATTATTATTATTATTATTATTATTATTATTATTATTATTATCATCACCGTCATTATTATTATTATTATTATTATTATTATATAAGCTATAAGTTTCAGATAACTGTATGGTAATAAATATACTCATTATGAAAGGTTTATTATTTTAATAAGTTAATATTTTATGACCTTATTTATTATTATTATTATTATTATATAAGCTATAATAAAGTTGCAAATTAATTACATTTTATGGTAATAAATATTGTTAATTAGGAAAAGCTGATGATCCTGAGTTGTTGTTGTTGTTGTTATTATTAGTATTAATGTTATTTTATAAGATATAAGTTGCAGCTTAATTAAAATGTATAGTTATAAAAATATTTATTAATAAAAGTTTACTGTTTTATTAAGCTGTTAATTTATCACCCCTTGTTTTTGCGTTTTATTATTATGATTAATATTTATAAAAATTTATTTTATTTTATTTTTTTAAGAATTAATATTCTAATAAAGCATTCTCTACAATCTCTTATGACCCATTCCTTACTTTTTGAATAAGTTTTTATTGTTCCAGGTTTGTTTTAGTCCTTTCTAGAAGTTTGTAAGTAAAAATGCATTCAATTCCCTCTCTCCAACCCTGGCCAGAGTGCTGTACTGCTCTGCTCGATGGTTTTCTGCTGCCCTTTCTGGATGTTTGCCTCTTTCCTGTGGTTTACAGTAGCTTTTACTGTAGTTCTAGAATGATTTAATATAAAAAAAAAATAAACAAACTTCTCCTTTCTAGCTGTTCGTCATTTATCCAGCTCCCCTGCTTCATCTGTTTACTGCAGAATCACTGCCTTCTACTGGCTTTCTCTGTCTTTTTTCCCTTTCTTTTTCTTCTTCTCTCTCACTGTCTGTCCCATATGGGGTTAGATTTGTTACAGTAGTCAAAATGAATGATTCACAAATCAATTAACTAAAATGAAACACTTTCACAAATAATTAAAATGAGATATGCAAATGTATGGTTCACAAAAAATGTGCTTGATTCACAAATGAATAAAATGACCAGACATGTGACAAAATCAAATGATCAAACCGTTTTGACACTGAAGATTATTTATAAAAATAAAATGAAAATGTTTATATTACATCAGTTTTACTTCTTAAATGCAAGAATATTTAGCAATTTAATGTTTATTGATGCATTTTTTAGATACTTTGTGAGTAGAATAGAGTATGGAGGTCCAAAGAAAAATGCAAAAACAATGCAATGTTATATGATTTAATAAAACATGTAGATAATGTATATTTAAATTATTATTAATCCTAAATTTATTTATTAATTTCTGCATGTATTTTTGTTTATATTCAATACTTTAAACTTAAACGAATTTGTTTGTTTTTTTCAAATATTTATTTATTTATTTATTTATTTATTTATTTATTTATTTATTTATTTATTTATTTATTTATTTATTTATTTATTTATCTATTTGTTTTTGCTTGGAATCCTAGACTAGGCTTTTAACCTTAAAAATATCCCAAACACTTGACCAATAATGCATTTGTGGATATGTTTTTATTCTCAACTCCCATTTGTTTATTTGTTCATTTATAAATCTTTCCGTATGTCATTCTATTTATTTGTGAATATTTATTGTTTATTACATTTAAATTTAAAATCATAATCTTTTTCTCTTTTTGGAATAATGGAACCAAACTAACCCCATACTTCTACTGCACTTTCCTCTTGTTTATTGGCTTCTCTTTTGATTTGGGGTCAGTTTGAGAAGCCAATATCTGGTGCAAATCTCCAGCAACACCCAGTGGTGTGTTGTATGTGAGACAGTTTCTCTCATAGACATGGACTGCTTATATAAAACATAAGCGGTCAGATAGTTGTCGATTGGATGGAAGTTTTAATCTTGTCTGAAATGTAATCTGTGGCTGTCCATGTTTATGAAGAAATATGACTGTAGATACTGAAGGAGAGGCCCTTAGTATCTCTTAACCTAATGACATCTTTGTTTTTCCCTGTACTGACCTGTTGATTGCTGACTACTAAACTCAATGTGACTTTGGTACTAACCCCAGCTGACCAAAAAAAAGGGGTTCTAGATGCAAGAACCTAAATACAGGAGTAGGAGTTAACTGAAGTGACTGAAGCTAAAACCAAAAGCAAGGCACAGCAAGTCTGAAGTGACTAAAAATGAATAATAATAAAAATGTTTGAAAACCATATTTTACACAAGAACTACCATTAGTATATGGAAGATTTTTTGCAATTGTAAAAATGCACAACAACAATGCAGTTAAATAATACTTTTACTGTTTTTATTAACAAATAATAAATAAGCCTAAGACACTTCCAGAAAGAAATGAATGGTTATTATTATTATTATTATTATTATTATTATTATTATTATTATTATTATTATTATTATTATGATAATAAAGTAATACATTAATAAATTTGGTCACACTTTATTTTAATGTAAACTATTTACAATGTTAACAAACAATTAACTAAGACTTTTAGCTCAATAAACTACTAATGATCTTCTTATTAATAGCTTGTAAGGTAAAAGTTTAGGGGTTTAGGGTTGTAAAATAAGATCATACTTTCATTTCACCCTGATGAAGGCAAGTGTTTGCCAAAACTCACATAGGCACAGTTTTAAGGAATAGCCATGTCGATACAGGCTTTTTAATATTTTTTCCACATTTTTCTAGTGCCTTGGACTTACCTTTTCTGTTTATTCTGATAAATCCCTCATCCAAAGAGCACCGACACATTATATAAACTACCCCTGAGCACTTTGTGTTTGATTTTGGATTTTCATACTTTCACTTTATTTGTGCTAATAAACTGTTAATATCTTAACAATAGTCAAATAATAAGCCAGTATAGTAAATGGTGTGAACTGTTACTTAAATTAAATTGTTACCATAAATGTATACCTAAAATAATAGACCAAAGAGTTTGGATTAGTTACATCGTTAAATAATAACTAATAATTTTTAGTATTAAATACTCTATTAATTAAATTAAAATATAAAAATTGTACAATATATATTCTAAACTTTTTGCATAGTCTGTGTTGAAATAAAATGAATAATTTATTATAAATAGTAACATATTGTGACTGTATAATGTTTGAAACTTGAGTTCATAAACATGCAGTTTTCATTTAGCAAGTTTTTTAGGGAGAAATTCCAGGCTTGGTATGAATTATCTGCAAAAACTCAAACAGAGAAGACTGAACAAACAACTACCTTGTTTTATTCATATTATTTATATTAGTGTTAAGAACATTTTCTTTAACCACATACATACTGAGCCTTGGATCATATTACTATTAACTGATCCCAAATACTGTAGGATTGTACAATATAATAATTCCAAATAAACATATGCAGAAACAGTACATCGCTAGCCGTCCACCAACCCTGCCAGGCAGCTTTGCATGCTACTAAATTTGGTCAGAAGCCTCTTTTAGTGCCCATGCAGCCGTTGTGCTTCTTCCTCTCTCTTTCTCCTCTGACCCCTTGCTCTTGCATGCCCCGATCCTCTTTTATAGGGAAAAAGAGAGAAATGTATGAGCATCCTGTCTTCTGTTTGGCGTCACAAGTGATGGATTTAACCATTCGTGAGTACCCTGCTCATCCGGAGCCACTCCATCACTTCCGCCTCCCAAACTTCAGTTCTCCATTTCCACATTTTTTGCATTCTGACTCGCACTGTCTTCCTCTCGTCTGCTTGCCTTTTTTTTAAGTGTAAATCAGTCACAGCTCTTTCTGTGGATTGATCAGAGTCGGCTTGTTTTCTGATTATTCTTTCTGTTGTGACTTGAATGCATTTTTACTTTGCTTTTGTGTAAGTCACTTCTCCCCACCTTTGTCGTTTTTTTATCGATGTGTCCCAGGTTTACAGTTTTGGTCAGGTACAGGGTAAATGTAAATAATTGATATCACCTCCAGTCACAGGGATTTTTGGAGTCATTGTGTTTCGAAACATGTTTTCAACCAGTATGTTTTTGTCACTTCAACAGCTTTTCACTGTGCGTCTTCACTATTTTTATGTGTGGTTTGGGTAATTGTTTCTTTCTTGGGTTAATTTGGATTCAGACATGTTTGTAAGAGAAGTAAACTTTATAGAAGATTTCCAAAAATAATTATATAGAATTCTATAAATTTTATATATATATATATATATATATATATATATCAATGTTTTATAAAAGAAGGGATGTATAATACTTGAGTAGATGAATTGTATTGGTATACAGGTATTTCCACTTTACTGAAGTACCATTACAATTACAGGATGTACTCATATTTCATTTTATGTAATTATACATGTAGAGATTTTTATATGATACATGTATTCATTGTAGTTTGCAAGATATAGGAGCAATATCACACTCGTAAAAGTGCGAAATGGCTATACATCGGCACTGGTGGGAGGCGTGCGGGCCTTAGTAGCCCACCAGTGACAATATACAGCCATATTGCACTGCTAGGTGTGTGATATTGTGTTTTTACAACAGTTCAACGGCATACTCATGTATATAGAAAACCAAATCAAACACGGAGAGTTTAAAAACCCTTTTGTATGATGAACAATTTTCTTCCATCATTTGTTCACATTTGCAGCTGATGTCTGAACAGCAGAAACCATTGTTAATTCTCACACGTCACTTTAGGGCTAGTATTTGAATGATTCTGTAGCGGTTATTTCTAAAGTGATAACAAAACAGGTGATTTTGCTCATATTTTAAGATTATAAGGCTGATTGGCATGAAATGCTATCAGTCTAGAGACATTTCTCTGTATTTCTCTGTTGCAATCGGGATTTCACAATAAATGACCCTGAAAAAGCCAAAGTAATGCAAACACTACCAGATTACTTTTGTGTTTGCTATAAGGAAAAACTCTAAACACATGCAGGCATTTCTTCTTTCTTTCTATTTACTGAACTAGTCTGCAGTAACGAAAATAGGTGACTCATTAGGAACAAACAGACCAAAACGTAACTCAGGCATGGATGGTTCAAGCAGCAGCTCCAGCTCTAGCGATGAAGAAATTATTATTGTTCACCAGTGCAATAAGCAGCTAAACGTTCATATCGCCTCTAGCCATCTTCTTCAATGTGCGCCCGCATTGATAGTTTTGCACTAGAGCGCCTCCAAGTGCTGTTTACTGTAACTTCAGCAGCTCCGTGCACTTAAACAAAAGTGCGGATCTGATTGGTGGAGAAGGTTTTGACACGGCGCATCAAAACAAAAAAAAACGAGCATGAGGCGTTTTTTTTTTTTTTAAATGATGCTTTTTTTCGCCTGACGTTTTGCGCGTTGGTGTGCACGATCACATTGATGCCCTTTAGTTAGTCACGAGGCGCTAAACGTTGTCAGAAAACGCGAGCAAAAAACGTCTCTGTGTGCACGGGCCTTAACAGTTATAATTATTTTATTGACTCTATTATAATTTAACTAGACTTTTAAAGCCCTGTTTAAAAGGTTTCTTGTCGTTTTCTTGTAGTGTTTCCCTCAGTGAAGGACACAGTGAAGCACCAGTCTGTCACTGTCAGCTCTTTCTTCTCACTCCTCTTTCTTTCCTTCACTATCTACTTCTCCATCAGATCTCACATTTGAAACAAAAACAAAGCTGACCTCTTCTTCATTTTCTCTTTCCCTTTTGTTCTCCTCTTTCTTTCTTTCTTTCTTTCTTTCTTTCTTCCTTCTTTTAGTAGAGAAATCTCAGAAGGATCAGAGGGATCCAGGTGACATCTTTTGTCTGACTTACTATCAAACCCATTTTAAAACGACCCCTCCTTCACTTTAAAACATAACCAACTCACAACATTCGCATGGTGTGATGAAGGTAACCATGTAAATGTTGCGACAATGTTATGTTAATCTCTCCTGAAGTGTCTGCATTGCATCCAAGTGAAGATGCATTTTCCATAAGCTGGTAAGAGCTGTGGTTAACTTTACCAGTCTATGGAACATGCAGAGCGAGTATTTCTTTAATTCATACCTAAAATTCATAAGAAACTGATAGTTTGTCTGAATTAATTATGATTCATGATTGAAGTGATACTTTCTCTGCACTAAATGTGTGATTAAGAAAAATCAGGAACACTTTATTGTAAGATTCAATCTTGTAACATTGGTTAATATTTTACAGTTCATAAAATAGAAAATACTGTTAATAATGCAACAGAAGTTGTTACTTTAGTGTATGATGATTGTAAAAATAAGTGTTTGTCATTCTAAATTAATACCATGCAATATAAATGCTTTTCATAATATTAAAGGTGCCATAGAATGCATTGATACAGTCTCTTAGGTATGTGGAAAAATTCTTCAGAAATGAAATTACCATCCCATTTAAAACCCTAGGATTTGCCCCTAGACTGCAGTAAAAAAGTCTGTTTTTACCTTATTTGGAAGGGTCATGAATATTAATGATTAGCTTTGCTCTGATTGCCTGTTTCACAGCAGCTTACACAGATGTAAACTGTCAAGCATGAACACAGGAGCTGTAATGTGCTCAGAAATACAAGCACACAAAATAAGTATACTTCAGTTGTCAACGACAAAAAAGTAAGTGTACAAATAGAGATGCCTTGTCAAATCATGTTAGTTTAGCTTGAGTGAGCTACAGTATCTGTAACCTTTTGTATTTTCTCGTCAGCCTGGAACAATGCTGCATAATTACAAACCGATCTTAGTTCATTTTATTGGAATTTCATGTGATTGTTTTGGAATCCACCAGGTCATAAAATCGCTTCAAATATCACTGCTTCTGTACAATTGTCAAATCAACTTTTTTTTCTCCATTTGCTCCATGTCTGTTAATTAATGAAGTAAATATCTAAGAAAATGAAGTCCCAAAAACATGTGATCATCATCCTTATTACTTTTTACATTACACTTTTGTTACCAAAGCAAAGACTGACAAATTTTACCACTAGAATACCCTTAATTTTACCGTAGCCTACTATTAATAATCTATCAATAAACAGTCGATGTTATGTGATTATTCATCTGTTTTTTCAGTGGTCTTTAGCTCAGGTATGTCATTTTATTAAGCTCTTATTAATCCCAGGTAAATAGATTTTCATTTTATGGCACCTTTAGGAATGTTGATATGAATAATAATTGCAGATTTTAAATGTATTAAATAATAATTTAACTAAATAAATGTAAAGGTCTGAAAGCATGGTAGCTTTTTTATTTTATGAAAAGAATTCTCTAAATAAAATGTCATCAATAATATATTTTTTGCATTAACTAATGTTTACAAATTGAACCTTAGTGCAAAGTGTTCTGAAAATAAATAATAAAAAGGGTTAAAGAGATTGACTATAAATGAAAGAGAGCACCTATAAAAGTTCACCTATAAATGAAAATTCTGTCAACATTTACTCGTTTTTTTACTCATTAAGAATGTGTTTCAATTTCTTTCTTTTGTTCAACACAAAAGAACATTCATTTAACTTGAACTTTGAAACCAATAACCATTGACTTCCATAGTATTTACATACAAGTTTTCAGCTTTTAACAGAAGAAAGAAACTCATTAAGATTTATAACCACTTGAGGTTGAGTAAATAGTAAGTACATTTTCAATTATTGGTGAACTATCTATTTTAATAGCAATACACATGCACAATTAATGTTTTTTTATATTTTTTTTCCCCACATCATATTGCTGATTTCCCATTGGCGTGAATATGGTGGTGTTATGTCACAGTGGGATGGTTTCTAAAACCTTGAAAAATATTTCTGATATTACCATGCACATCATGAATTGGTTTAGAAATAATTTCTAAAATGTCTTGAATTAGCACCATCAGGTATTCCAAATAGTCTTTTTAAAACATAATAATCAAATGCTAATGCCTGATGTTGCACTACATGGCATTTTATCCCTGCATGGACAGTAACCCTTTAAAAGTCCAAAATATTACACTTTCCTCAGTCTTCTGTCTTACTGAAGCAACTGAAGATGACTGAGAAACGATTAGAGGAAAGGTCAGAGGGTTAATTCACATTTAGGGGCTGTGTGCTTTGTGTTTAATGATGAAAGCGGAGTTGACTGAGAGGGGCGTTACTATTCAAAATCATGTTAATTGTTTTGACATGCAATTACTTCTCTTCATAGTTCTTTTGTCTTTGTTTTCCTCCATCAAATGTTGAATAATGAGTGATCCTAAAACCCAGAAAGCACAAACAAATCCAGCAGCAGATAAACAAACAAAACACCAATGACTAAACACCCTCTCAGCCAATACTGAAGCCTTCATATTTAGATAAAAACATGTATACTATGGTCTCAAAAAAGTCTCTTTGATTTGCAAATCCATTTTTAAGCAACAGTACCATTTACCTCACATTGTGTGTGTGTCTGTTCATTGTGATAAGCATTCATTTTAACAGTTGTACTGTTGGAATTCAGTTTAAAATAACACTTACAGCTAATACTTCTATTGTCAACTAACATATTTAAAGAAGCACTCCTCTGTTTTTTGGAAATCGACTCATTTTACGAGTCACTTAGAGTAAAACAGACTAATTTGACCATTTTTAATTCATACAGCCGGACTTGTAAGAGGTATTTTAGCTTAGCTTAGCATAGATCATTAAATCAGATTAGACTATAAGCATTTTACATTAGCACATCAGCCTAGAAAATAGCAATTGTCCCATTTCTGTTGGCCTTAGTACATTGTGTAACTACAAAAGGATCAAGGTTTTAACAGGACAATTTGTTTTTTTATTGTTTTTAGCAAGATGCTAATGGTCTAATCCGTTTCAATAATTTATGCTAAGTTAAGCTAAAATTCAGAGATTGGCTAAATGGACTCAGAAAGGGTTCAACTTAACGGTTTAACCCTAGGGGAGTTCAAATAAGCTTATTAAGATAAAAAAGTGAAGTGATCCTTTCCTAAGTTTAAGTATAACCTATTAAAGGGCATACTTCCCCTGAAAATAAAATTCTGCCATCAATTCTCATTCACTTGTATCAAACCTGTTTGAGTATCTTGCTTCTGTTAATTACATTTTTGAGGGAACTATCTCTTTAAGAGAAAGGTGCTATCTTTGTGTATTTTAAGAGAACGATAAGAAATGTGATGACATGTATTCCTGCATGTGCTGAACATTATGCATGATGACTATAACATATTTGTTGTTGTTTTTTATCAGTTTTCCCCCCCTCAGTTCCATGATTTGACTCATTATACTTGCATTGTTCTTTATTGACTCATTACGGTTCATGTCTACACAGCGGAGTGTTGACAGAGTGTCAAGATTATGTTAAGTCGTTAACTAAGATAGCACAGTTGATGTATGCAGCAGCTTATTTGTGTTTCATTAAGTCAGTTTTTCCTTTTTTTCTGTCCCCAGAGAGATTGTTTATGAAATTCATATGAAAATTTCAACAAAATCCTGTCACATCTATAAAGTTTTCTTCATAGCAGATATGTTTATGAAGTGACATTACTTTTTAATTACCAGCATTGTTAAAAGGTACGATATTTATTCTATGTTGTAGACAGTATGCTGTCAGTTAAAAAAGCAACAACATTTGGAGTGTAGTTTGTAGTTTAGAGAGCAGAAACTCTGTTTTTTGTGTATTTCTCTGTTTTGTCCATATTTACTGTTGTACCTTTGTGCCACAGAAAATGTAGGGCGCTTAGTCACACCTGCCAAAAAGCTTGAGGACACACTCCGTCTGGCCGAGCTGGTCATTGAGGTGCTTCAGCAAAACGAGGAACATCATGCAGAGGTGAATGTGCCAGACATGACATGCTTGACATATTACATGCCTAAATACACAAGCATGAAATGAAGTACATCAGGAGAAGTACATCAAAACAAACTGCTGCTTGAATAATAGGAGTATTCGAGTCACAACTATAACATGCGAAGGAACAGTTGAAATGATGTGAAAATACACTGAATATTCATTCAGCTCCAGGCCAACCATGATGTAAATGGTTTTCTTTCTTCAGCCAAAGAGAAATGAAGATTCCTATAATTCCAGAATTTTTCTCAATCTAATGCAAGTGAATAGGGCTTCCCAAAAGCATTATAAAACATGTGTAGAAAAATAGAGCATGAAAATCATCCAGCAGACTTCATTATGCTTTCCGAACACACTTAAAAATCATTGTAGATGCTCTGAAGTAATTGTTAAAACCTATGTGAATGTGTAAGAAAAAAGTTAAAAGGTCACCTGCAGGACAATCGGCAGATTACACCCTACATTTTTTCAAGTACAAGTATAGTACAGTGTGATTATAATTAAAGGTTTTGATTGTAATTTATAGTATTTTATTATCATTTTAATGAACTTACATGTCAATTAATTAAAAAGAGCAGAAAAAAATAAAAACTTAAATTGCTGAACGAAAAATAAATATAAATAAAAGAAAAAAATCTGTCAATTGATTTATTTGTCTGTCAAGGTTGTGTGTATTAATTTGAAGCTAGCTAAATATGATTTTTGCACCATAAAAAAAATATTAACATTGAGTCCCATTTCAGTGAATGAAGAGTAGATGTAAAAAAATTCTGAAATATATCCCTCCCATGCCTTTCTGTTCTGTTGATAGAGGAAATAAGGTCATATAAATAATTATGAGACAATTTATTTCTGGGCAAACTATTCTTTTAAGTGTTTTCCATCTTTAAAAAAAAATGCTTCCCCAATGGCTGCTTGCTCTGTTTAGGTAGCAATACCTATTAGAGTAGCCGTCATTCTTTTTCAAACAACAGCAGGATATATTTGTGTTTTTAAATCATGTGTTCCGCAGGCTACACGCTCAAGTACGGGAGGTCAGGCGGTACAGTATTTTTTTTTTTTTATTTGACTTTTTTTGCTGTCATCTGTGCCGCACCCTGCGCTTGCATGCCAGCCTCATGATCTGGCCTGCCGTGAAAAAGGCATTACATGGGCAAATCAGGGTTCAGGCACCAGCAAGGGTGCATTGTAGATTTCATTTCAGTTAATTCAGAATTGAAGATAGATTTTTAGTTATATGCAGTTCTTATAGATTTATAGATTCTCTGTAGAATTAACTGAACTGAAATGACTGTCACATTGACTGAGTACATTAAAGTTTGGGGGCATCGGAGTCAATGGATAAAGATACTACAGTTGTTTTATGTATGAAGTACAGCCAGATTTATTTCAAGTTTACTGTCATTGTTTTGTTTAGAAAGATGGATAATAATAAAATAATAAATATATATCTTTGGTCCAATGTCCAAAAAAAATGGATATACAAATAAATAAATAAACAGCTGTAGTACTTTCACTCTCTTTCATTTTTTAAATCTTTGTTTAGTTTGTTTTGATTTTTTTTTCTATTTGTTTTTTTCATTGTTTTTTTTTAATTAACTTTTTAAATCAAGCTTTTAATTTCAATTGTATTCTTTTATTTTGTTGTTGTTGTTTTCAATTTTTTCAGTGTTCAATGTCTAGTTCCCCTTCGGTTGGGGAACTTCAGTGCCATAAGTGGATGAAATCCACGATGGGAGGATTCGGATCAGAAGCCGCTTGTCTGGAGAGTATTGAACGGGCCAATAATTGAAATTAATTGGCAGCGTAAGCTTGCGCAGGTGTGCGGCATCTGCAATTATCTCAGCATATAAGCACACCTGAAGCTAGCAAACGCCATCCTTTTCGCTTCAGATCCTTTCTGAGTGAGTCGATGAGGGTTCCTCTTGCTGTTCAGCACTTCAGAGCGAACGAGTGTGTCTCCCGGTCCAGAGTGGGTCTTCGCGGTGGCAGACGGTCGAGCTGGGTTTCTCCCTTGCCTGCGGTTTTTTGGGTCCGGTCCTCCAGAGCGGTGCGTATTGTTGCAAACTTTCCTAAAAGAGCAACACAGTCGTGCAGCACGTCCTTTTCAGGATGGCGCTCCGACTGTGCGTTTCTGGATGTGGGGGTTTCCTGGCTCCGGATGATGGACACGATCACTGCATTGCATGTTTGGGGGTCCAGCATGTTAATGCGGTGCTCACGGGCGGTTCATGTCGTCATTGCGATGCCATGACCGTTGCACAGCTAAGATCGCGGCTAACTTTCGCAAGAGAGCGAGCCACCCCAGTTGCCTCCTGTTCTAAAAAAGCAGCGGGCGCTCGGGCAGATCTAACCAGATGGTAGCTCTCACACTCGCTGACACCGGAGATCAGATGTCCTCCGCGGCATCGGAGGGTGGGCTTTCACTGTCCGACGAAGATCCAGACCCGCTCGCCCCCTCCGGGCAGGTGAGCGCTGTCAAATCGGATCCTGAAGCGGACATGTTAGCCGTGCTTTCCCGGGCTGCTTCGGCCGTGGGGTTGGAGATGGTTTATCCCCCAGCTCCACGGCCGGACCGACTAGATGGGTGCTACGTAGAGGACCAGAAGGCGAAGCCTTCGAAGCCTCTCGTCCCCTTCTTCCCGGAAGTGCACAGTAGGCTCACGCAGTCTTGGAGGGCACCTTTCTCTGCCCGTGCTGCGTGTACCTCCGCCCTCACCGCCCTTGACGGCGGAGCTGCCAGGGGGTATGAGGCGATCCCGTCAGTGGAGCGCGCTATCGCGGTCAATCTTTGTCCGCGCGGCGCCTCTACGTGGCGGGGTTTGCCCCGCCTCCCGTCCAAAGCCTGTAGGTTGTCTGCCTCCCTCGGAGCCAGAGCTTATAAGGCTGAGGGCCAGGCTGCTTCTGCTTTGCACGCGATGACCACCTACCAGCGCTACCAAGCGCAGGCGCTGGCCGAGCTGCACGAGGGCGGGTCCAACCCAAGCTTATTACATGAGCTGCGCACCGCGACCGACTATGCTCTTCGGACTACTAAGTCCACCGCGTGTGCGCTGGGGAGGACGATGTCCACACTTGTGGTTCAGGAACGCCACCTCTGGCTAAACCTGGCCGATATGCGCGATGTTGACAAAGTTCGCTTTCTTGACTCGCCCATATCCCAGGCTGGCCTGTTCGGCAACACCGTCGGTGAATTCACCCAGGAATTCAAGGCGGTGAAAGAGCAGTCGGATGCGATGGGCAATGTCATCTATCGGCGTGGCCGTAAGCCCGCTCCGCCCGCCGAGCCATCCACCTCTGCTGTTCCTCGCCGAGGGCGCCCGCCAACGAGTGCTACCCTGCCCCCGCCTGCGCCTCCGGCCAAGTGGGCGCTGCGTACACCTCGAAAGCAGGCAGCCCCTCCTGCCCAGGGCGCCGTTAAGTCCGGTAAACGGACCGCGAAGCGTCCCTGAGACAGGCCATCCGGAGAAGAGGTAACTTGCTCTTTCCCCGCTGGAGGGCGGGGCCCCGATAACAACGGTACTTTTCAGTGCCACCAAAACATCAGTAAAAGAGCACTTTTTCCCTTCCCCGGATGTGACTGCACGAGTTCTGCCAGTCCGGGACGCGCTGCCTTCCGGCTCGCAGACTCTACGTGCTTCGCCAGTGGCTCACGAGCGCTGGGGGGACGGTCTCCCTTCCCTCAGCCCTCCAGCCCCCTCTCCGGAGTCAGGGTGCGGAGCCAGAGCGAATCGCTCTCCTCCAGCTCTTCTGCGGGACCCTCGTGCTTCCCGGATCAGCACACCCACTCCGCGCTGCCCCACCGCTGGTACGTCAGCGATTGTAGCGATGACTCCATTAGCGAGGGCTCTGCCTGCCTGGTTAGCGCGGGCCAGCCCCTCGCGGTGGCTCATACGCACAATCAGACTCGGTTACGCGATTCAGTTCGCGAAGCGGCCCCCCAAGTTTACGGGCGTGTATTTCTCCAGGGTCAACCCCCTGTCCGCCCCTGTCTTGCGAGAGGAGATTGCTGCCCTCCTGGCGAAGGGTGCAATCGAGCCGGTTCCTCCAGCCGAGATGGAGAGTGGGTTTTACAGCCCATACTTCATCGTACCCAAAAAGAGCGGTGGGTCACGGCCAATCCTAGATCTGCGCGTTTTGAACCGCTGTCTGCACAGGCTGCCGTTCAGAATGCTCACGCAGAGGCGCATTCTCCAATGCGTTCGTCCTCAGGATTGGTTTGCAGCCATAGACCTGAAGGACGCGTATTTCCATGTCTCCATTCTTCCACGCCACCGCCAATTTCTGCGGTTTGCGTTCGAGGGTCGAGCGTGGCAGTACAAGGTCCTCCCCTTCGGGCTCTCTCTGTCTCCGCGGGTCTTCACCAAACTCGCGGAGGGTGCCCTAGCGCCCCTTCGGCTCGCGGGCATTCGCATACTCAATTATTTCGACGACTGGCTGATTTTCGCCCACTCGCGGGAGCAATTGATTATGCACAGGGACAAGGTGCTTCGGCATCTCCGCCTACTGGGGCTTCAGGTCAACCGAGAAAAGAGCAAACTCGCCTCAGCCCTTGGAATGACCCCTCGTTCCTACAGGCCGGTGTGCCTCTAGGACAGGCGTCCAGCCATGTTATTGTTTCAACAGATGCTTCCAACACGGGTTGGGGGGCCGTGTGTCGCGGGCATGCGGCTGCGGGCCTGTGGAAGGGTGCCCAGCTGCATTGGCATATCAATCGCCTAGAGCTGTTGGCAGTGTTCCTCGCTCTCCACCGCTTTTTACCGGTGCTGGAGCGGCAACACGTGCTGGTCAGGACGGACAGTATGGCGGCGGCGGCGTATATCAACCGCATGGGGGGTATGCGCTCTCGCCGCATGTCTCAGCTCGCCCGCCGTCTGCTCCTCTGGAGTCACCCGCGGCTGAAATCGCTGCGCGCCATTCACGTTCCAGGCATGCTCAATCGTGCAGCCGATGCGCTCTCACGACAGCTGTTACGCCCTGGAGAATGGAGACTCCACCCCGAGTCTGTTCAGCTGATATGGGCGCGATTCGGGGAGGCCCAGATCGATCTGTTTGCTTCCCCCGAGAACGCTCACTGCCAGTTGTTTTTTTACCTGACCGAGGGCTCTCTCGGCACGGATGCACTGGCCCACAGCTGGCCTCGGGGCATGCGCAAGTATGCGTTTCCCCCAGTGAGCCTGCTCGCGCAGTTTCTGTGCAAGGTCAGGAAGGACGAGGAACAGGTTCTGCTAGTTGCACCCCTTTGGCCCAACCGGACCTGGATATCAGAGCTCTCACTCCTCGCGACGGCCCTCCCCTGGCGGATCCCTTTGAGAGAGGACCTACTCTCTCAGGGACAGGGCACCATCTGGCACCCTCGCCCCGATCCTTGGAACCTCCACGTGTGGTCCCTAGACGCAAGGAAGACTTAGGTAACCTACCGACTGCGGTGGTTAATACCATCACTCAGGCTAGAGCCCCCTCCACGAGGCGCGCCTACACCCTGAAGTGGAGTCTATTCACTGAATGGTGCGTCTCTCGCAAAGAAGACCCCCGAAATTGCCAGATTAATGTTGTGCTCTCTTTCCTTCAAGAGAAGTTGGACAGCAGGCTGTCGCCCTCCACTCTCAAGGTTTACGTGGCCGCCATCTCCGCTTATCATAGCGCGGTAGCTGGCGGCACCGTGGGAAAGCATAACCTTGTCATCCAGTTCCTAAGGGGTGCTAGGCGAATTAATCCATCTCGCCCCCCTCTCATGCCCTCTTGGGATCTCGCCCTCGTTCTCACGAGTCTGCGATCCGATCCCTTTGAGCCGCTCGAAGCAGTATCTCTAGGATTTCTGTCCCTGAAGACAGCTCTGCTGGTTGCGTTGGCCTCCATCAAGAGGGTCGGGGACCTGGAGGCATTTTCGGTCAGTGACTCGTGCCTGGAATTCGGGCCGGATTACTCTCACGTCATCCTGAGACCCCGCCCCGGTTATGTGCCCAAGGTTCCTACCACCCCCTTTAGAGATCAGGTAGTGAACCTGCAAGCGCTGCCCCCGGAGGAGGCAGACCCAGCCCTTTCTTTACTTTGTCCAGTTCGCGCTCTGCGCATTTATGTGGACCGTACTCAGAATTTTAGATCATCTGAGCAGCTCTTTGTCTGTTATGGCGGTCGGCAGCAGGGAAGTGCCGTATCGAAACAAAGATTATCCCACTGGATTGTGGATGCCATTTCACTCGCTTATTCGAGTCGAGGTCAGCTGTGTCCCCCGGGAGTACGTGCACACTCCACTCGGAGTGTTGCATCCTCTTGGGCGCGTGCACGCGGCGCCTCTCTAACAGACATCTGTAGAGCTGCGGGCTGGGCGACACCCAACACATTTGCAAGGTTTTACAATCTGCGAGTGGAGCCGGTTTCCTTAAGGGTATTAGGTAACCTTTTGGTGATTGAGGAGACAACTCGGTAGGGTGTTGAAACACGCTTGCTGCGCCATTCTCCCTGACACGGAGGTACGTGCGCCTTTTTATCTGTCAGTAAAGTTCCCCGTCAGGTGAGCCCTGCAAATTCCTCTGTGGCCCCCAGCACTGACTCAGCGGAGGAGTCACTTGCTGGCCCACTACGTTGTAGGTCTGCCCGCTGGTCAGCTCGCGTTTTGGGTATAGGTGCCTGCTATGCGTGATCCCCACTAGGCGATCCCATATGCTTATTCCGCCACTGTTAAGTCCCCCCCCTGGGCAGACCCGTGTCTTCCCTCTCCGCTAACCACTCTTTTGCTATGAGTACTCCCCCTTTTTAGGGCTAGTCCATATGTAAATTCTGCCATCTATCCCCCCCTTGGGTAACGGATGGCCTCCGCAGCGTCCTTCCTATCGCGATTGCACACTTCCCAACGTACTGTCGTATTTCCTAGAATTATCTAGATGCTCACGACTTCCCAAAAAAATATATCTAAATCCGTAAAACTTCTGTTGAAGTAGGATAAATTAGGGCCAGGGACTAGTTGGAGGACCTCGCCTCCCATGATGTGGGTGCGTCACGCTTGCTTGACTATCTCCTTATCGGGGGCGTTGGTAAGGTGCAGTCATTATGGCGCTTTCCATACTTCTCCCATCGTGGATTTCATCCACTTATAGCACTGAAGTTCCCCAACCGAAGGGGAACGTTCGAGGTTACAGAAGTAACCCTTCGTTCCCCGAGGAGGGGAACGGAAGTGCCATACTCCGTCGCCATAATGACTGTCCCTTAGCTGTTTGAAAGTCTCTTCAGCTTAAAAGAATGGCGTTTGCTAGCTTCAGGTGTGCTTATATGCTGAGATAATTGCAGATGCCGCACACCTGCGCAAGCTTACGCTGCCAATTAATTTCATTCATTGGCCCGTTCAATACTCTCCAGACAAGCGGCTTCTGATCCGAATCCTCCCATCGTGGATTTCATCCACTTATGGCACTTTAGTTCCCCTCCTCGGGGAACGAAGGGTTACTTCTGTAACCTCGAACGTTTTCAATGCTATTTTGGTTTGATTTTTTCCACTTTTGTTTGTTTGATTTAGTTTTTACTTTGGTTTTGTTTGTTTTCATTTGCTTTTTCCTTTGATTATATTTTAGTTGTGTCATTTTTCTTTTCTTTTGATTTTCGTTTTAGATTTGACATTAACACTTCTGGTAACATGTTCACTAAACCACTAAAGAGATAACTCATCCAAAGCTCACTAAAATATAAGTTTGTGTGTTTGTTAGTTTTTTTATATATATATATATATAAAATAAGTTTTGTTACCACACTGACTTGTGTAAATATATATATATACTTAAAATATCAGTTCAAAATATTAAGGGGAAATTTTAATGTGTAAAAAAATTATTTGCAAAGCTGGCATCCCTTTTTGGGTGAGCTATCCCTTTAAGAGCATAAAACCATTTTATTAAACATTTCCACAAAAATGCATGGGATCATTTACAATATTTTACACAATCCAGCCATTTATCATGCCACTGAATTTGCATGTTCAGCAGATCTCTGCATGTGCAACATGCACACCAATATTCAAAAAGATAATAAACACTACAATAAAGCTACCAAATGGTCTCAAGCATAAGAATTAGGTAAACATTTTTGTGTTATTTTATTTGTTTTCAAATAGTTTTTCAATAGCATTTTTTAAAGGAATGCTCCACTTAAAATTTAATTAAATTAAAATTATATTTAAAATATATATATAATATTATTCCCTAATATAAGTTCCCTAGAATTAAACTGTTAAGTTTTACCATTTTTTAAACCATTCAGTTGATATTCAGGTCTGGCAGGATCAATTTTACCTTAGCATAGTTAATTTATTCAGAGTAGACCACTGGTTCTCAAACTGTGGTACATGTATGTTTCCGGTTCTTTGATTATAATGTTAGAATGAGCGTTTATTCCTAGCCATATTGGCCTTGAAAATATGTAAATGTAACTACCAAAGAGTCAACCTTTAAATACAAAACCTATCAAAACACTTTTTTTGAGAGATGCTAATGGTCATATGCTAAGCTAAACTAAAAGTGATCCTGCCAGACGCAAAAATCAGCTGAACAGATTACAAGAGTTAGACAATAGTTTTTAATGAATTTATTTATTTTTTTTTAAGTAGAGTGTTCTTTTAAATAACTTTAATGGTGAAGCATTTATGATAATAGGGTATTCGTTTGAAAACAGAGTGAAGAAAATCTGACGTAACTCTCACTGTTTTCCATTACTTGTTTGTTGGCTGGGAAACGTTGGACAGGGTAAAGAGGTATGTAGACACTATAGAGCCTCCTCCATGTGCATGTCAGCCCCTGCACCATGGATGGAGGGATTTCCACCTTCTCCCTCCTAATTTTTTTCCTCCCCATCTCTGCCTGGACACCCATCCTCTCCCCGGTCAGCCATCCCCATGGAGCGTTGAGCAAGTGGCTTGTGTTCCTCCACAAGCACAAAGGGGGACAGTGCTTCCCATGTAGAAGCAGACCCCCTCCAAAAAAAAAAAAAAAAAGAAAATGGGACTGGGACTGGGTCTCATTTTCAGCCTTGCACAACCCCAGTAATTTCCAAACTCTCCTCTGTTTTGTGTCCTTCAGCTTGGTTTGGTCTGCTAGCTTCACTTACCAGCTCTAATTTTCAACATTAAACTGTAATCAAAAAGCCCTTTTCTTAATTTTGAGAGAGGTGTTGAAAGGATGAAAAGATGTTTGAGTGGTCAGTGATAATAGCATGCCTTTTTTTAGTGGAAAAAGCTATATTTTACGTTACAGTAACTGCTCGTTTACTAACCCACATGGAAGCTTATTTCTGCCACAGAATAAAATAATATAAATGGTAATTGATATTTTATATCTTTCAATTCTGCATTTTTTAGGCCAATCTGAGAAAAAAAGGTTTAGAATTGCGAGAAAAAAAAAATCACAATTTTAAGAAATAAACTTATAATTCAGAGAAAGTGTGAATAGTAAGATAGAAAGAAATGCAGATTTGTGAAATATAAAATTACAATTGTTAAAAAACAATTATTCTGTGGAGTGGAATTTGCAGTTCGGCGTTTATAATTTGCAGTTGCAAGATATAATGTAAGCCTGTTTCCATCACAGTATATTACAGAAATATAACAAAAATATAATTGTTTTTTCATCCTATAATTCTGACTTTTTTCCCCCACAATTGTGGGGTTACAAGTGACATTTGTTTTTTTGTTTTTTTTTTTTTTTCTAAATATTCTGCAAATGCAAGTTTATATATCTTTTTTCCAAGATCTGTTTGACAACTGATTGTTGTTAGAAACTTTTGAATTGCAAAATAGAAGCTCATAATTCTGACATTTTTCTGAGTCTATATCTAACGGTTCTGATGTTTATTTCTCAGCATTGAGACATTATTTCAGAATTGCAAGTTTATAGGCAATGTTTATTATAGGCAAGTTCATAGGCAAGAGTTTGTTTTTCAAGATTGCAAGCAATAAATCTGCTATTGAAACACACAAACTTACAATACTTTCTGAAAAAAAAATCTAAACTAAATTGACAAACCTAGACAAGAAATGTATATTTTGAAATTCTTTTTAAAAATGTCTAAAAAAAGTTTTGTTTAGAGCTTGCAATTCTGGCTTTTTACTTAGAAGTTCTACTGTAAGGTGATATATAACATTTCTGAGCAAAGAGAATTTCTAAAACATCTATAGTCTCACATTTGCATGAAATAAAGTCATTAATAAAGTTGCTATTTTAGAATACAAGCAAGTTGGAGAGAAGTCACATTTATAAATTGTGAACTCATAATTGAGAGATCTTAATGTCAAATTTCTGAAATATAAACCCAAAATTAGAGAAATAAACTTACAGTTCTGAAAAAGAACAGCACAATTGTGAGATAAGTAAAAAAGAATTGACAATTACCATTTATAGATTTTTACTCAATGGCAGAAACAAGCTTCCTTTAACATGCATAGGACAGATATTCAACACAAGTGGATCAGTAGCTACAAAAAGACATGGTTATATGATAATTTGATCAGAAAAATAATGCAAAGACTGTCTTGCTGATCACTGCTTTTGCTGCATGCAGGGAATTTTTCTGCAACAGGTGCATCAATGCCTGTCCATTTACTTTCCATCTTTAAAATGCGAAGAAACTAAGGATGTATTTAAAATATAAATGAGTCAGGAGGAGAGATTAAAGAGAGAAGCATGAGAGTTGGAGTGCTTGAGATAAGCTCATGACTTTCCACAGACACAAACATCACAAATGTCACTGTTTTTAAAATTTGTCATCAATCGCAAAACTGTTGTCTTCCTATAATACTGTAGGTAATTTTTCTTATAATATGATCTTTTTTTTTAATAAATCTGTGGACTGTCATGCCCTTACAGTATGTGCACTTCAAGAGAAAGGGCTTTATATTACACTAAATGAGTATTTTTCAAATTTCTTCTGTTTTCTGGCTCTCATTTTCTTGCTTCTTGTCTGTGGTGATATGGCTGCAGGCGTTTGCTTGGTGGTCGGATCTGATGGTTGAACATGCGGAGACGTTTCTGTCTTTGTATGCTGTGGACATGGATGCGGCTCTCGAAGTCCAGCCGCCAGACAGCTGGGACAGTTTTCCTCTCTTTCAGCTGCTCAATGACTACCTACGCATTGACTGTAAGTATAGTACTCTGAGCTTCTCCGGATCAATCTACACTGTTTTAATGCCTTATTAAAGTTAGGATATTGCACAAGTTTCTAAAATACGTAATGTGCTGAGTAACTTCAAGTTGCATGTTTTTTAAACAAATAAAGATTTTTTTAATTTGTTTATTTGTTTACTTGCCTGTTTTGTGCATCAAGTAATATATCTGATAAATATGCGTTTTTTAAATACTTAAAATGTTTGCAATAAAAGCAGCAAATACACTCACCGGACACTTTATTAGCTACACCTTACTAGTACCAGGTTGGGCCAACTTTGTCTCCAGAACTGCCTCAATCCTTCGTGGCATAGATTCAACAAGTTACTGGAAATATTCCTCAGAGATTTTGGTCCATTTTGACATGATACCATCACACAGTTGCTGCAGATTTGTCGGCTGCACATCTATGATGCAAATCTTCCATTCTTTCACATCTCAAAGGTGCTCTGTTGGATTGAGATATGGTGACTGCAGAGACCATTTAAGTACAGTAAACTCATCATGTTCAAGATACCAGTCTGAGATGATTCGAGCTTTACGACATGGCACATTATCCTGCTGAAAGTAGCCATCAGAAGATGGGCCCAAAGTGTGCCAAGAAAATATCCCCCACACCATTACACCACCACCACCAACCATTGATAAAAGGCAGGATGGATCCATGCTTCATGTTGTTGACGCCAAATTCTGACCCTACCATCTGAATGTCACAGCAGAAATCGAGACTCATCAGACCAGATGTGAAAATCGCAGTGGATCAGTCCGTCTGGCACCATCGACCATGCCATGTTCAGTCACTTAAATAACCTTTCATCCCTATTCTGATGCTCGATTTGACCTGCAGCAGATCGTCTTGACCATGTTTATGTGCCTAAATGCAATGAGTTGCTGCTGATTACTTTTGTTAACAAGCAGTTGGACAGGTGTACCTAATAAAGTGGCCAGTGAGTGTATGTTTGGTGGTTTTGTTTTTGTATTTGACTATTTTCACTTTTCCTAATAAAATAATCTCCTAATTCAGCAGTCCTAATGATCAGTTTAAAAGGCATGTATTCAAAATGTTCAATAGAACAGACGTTTGGATTTATTTGTTTGTTTTGTGTTCAAAGTCTTTGAGGGTCACACTATATAATAATGTTTCGTTAGTTAATGCATTTCCTAACATGAACAGATTATGAACAATGTTTGTAGAGAATTTATTAATCAAAGTACTAATTCAATATCGATATCCAAATTCATACTTGTTAACATCAGTTAATGCACTGTCAGTTAACACGAACTAACAATGAACAACTTTACTTTCATAAACTAAGGTTAACTAACCTAAACCAATACTGTAATAGATTTATTGTTCATTGTTTGTTCATTTTGTGCAAATGCATTAACTATTCATTCATTCATTTTCTTTTCAGCGTAGTCCCTTTATTAATCTGGGGTCGCCACAGTGGAATGAACCACCAACTTATCCAGCACATGTTTTACGCAGTGGATGCCCTTCCAGCAGGAACCCATCACTGGGAAACAAATATACACCCTCATTTGCACACATACACTACGGACTATTTTAGCTTACCCAATTCACCTGTACCCCATGTCTTTTGACTTGTGGGGGAAACCGGAGCACCTGGAGGAAACTCACATGAACAAGGGGGGAACATGCAAACTCCACACAGAAACGCCAACTGACCCAGCCGAGGCTGGAACCAGCGATCTTCTTGCTGTGAGGTGACAGCACTACCTACTGCGCCACCACGTCGCTATTATTATTATTATGATTATTATTAATTAGGACATTCTTTATTTTTTTATTTTATGAAATATCTACTTGACACATGCAAACCACTGCTGAAATGTTCTAATCAGCAGGCATTTGTCATACCTACTGCGCCACTGCATCGCCCTAACATTACATGTACATATACAACCTTATTGTAAGGTGTTACTGTTTAAATAATATTTTTGGGACATTCATTTATTTGTTTGATTTTTTTTCTACACATCTAAGAAATTTTATATGCTGCATCCATCATGTGTTGATTTTAATAAGAAAATGCTTCTTATTGTTTAATATTATTTATTCAATAACATTTCAAAATAATACTAATGTGAAATTATTCCTACTAATCATTTTTTAAAAAATGTGTTGTTAAAATGTGTGAAATATAATCAAAAACCTCTTGAATAGTTCATATTTGTTTTATATCTATGTATTTTTGGCCACACAGTTTTCTAGATTCTCATTTATGTTACTTATATAGGATATATTGTGTGTTTTTTTTTTACATAATAAGACATAAAAATATCAATTTACTACTAATAATCACATAATAACCATCATTAACTGGTGACGCAGTGGCGTAGTGCTGTCGACTCACAGCAAGAAGGTCGCTGGTTCAAACGTCTGCTCAGTTGGCATTTCTGTGTGGAGTTTGCATGTTCTCCCTGCATTTGTGTGGGTTTCCTCTGGGTGCTCCGGTTTCCCCTACAGTCCAAAGACATGCGGTACAGGTGAATTGGGTAGGCAAAATTGTCCGTAGTGTATAAGTGTGTGTGTGTGTGTGTGTGGATGTTTCCCAGGGATGGGTTTTGGCTGGAAGGGCATCCGCTGTGTAAAAATGTGCTGGTAAGTTGGCGATAAATAAGTCAGATAAATAAATGGATAAATAAAGGGACTAAGCCGACAAGAAAATGAATGAATGAATAATCATCATTAGTAATGAGGATCTTAAACAATGTTGTAAAATAAAGAGCAAAATTATAGATGGCCTGCTATTGTCATTCCAACAACAAAAAGAAAAATCTTTATTATATGACACAAATGATAAAATCACATATAATCACAGTCATCATACACATTTGAAATTGGAAATTGTCATATCCGCAGTCCATAATTGCATAATTGTGATGCTGCGATCCAAACACATTGTCTGCCTGCAATAGTTTGCAAATTGCAGCTTTAAGGGAGCGTATTGAAGAATTAAGGTCTGAATAGTGAAGCGGCAGGGGCTCGGATGTAAAGCGTTTGCTCGGGGCCTCCTCACGTCTCTAATGAACTGAAGTCAATGGGCTGCTGTCCGTGGTGCTGAAGCTGCTCTGCTATAGGCTCACACTGACTAATTACACCACTGGCATTCTTTGCACAGCTTGACAGGTTGTTGTCTGGTAACCTATTCTTGATTTTCGATTGCTTTTTCAGCTGGGAGAGCAAGAGCTGCTGTGTGTGAGCGCGCATTTGTGTGTTTTTGAATACATGATTTATAACACAAATGTGTATTATGAGATGGTTAGTACAATGTAGACATGGTTTATGAGGCAATTTCTATGTCTTTGTAAACCAAATGGCTTACAAAAACATACATAACATGTTTAAAAAGCTTTATATATAATATTATTAATATTTTTTATATTACATATATATAGCAAACATTTTCTGTGAAGGTTTTGATGAATTAGGGTTATGGGATAGAATATACAGTTTGGAAAAAATAAAATTCAACTATATTTATGTCTCGTCTTTGTAAACTAGTTATCCAAGATATGTTTATATGTATTTAAAACATATATATATACACACATATTTAATGTTTTCTTTATATTTACCACATGCTTAACATTAATTTAGTAATTGATAAGTAATCAATTATTTATCTTAGTTAATTCATTTTCCTTCCGCTAGTCCCTTTATTAATCAGGGGTCGGCACAGCGGAATGAACCGCCAACTTATCCAGTATATGTTTTACACAGCGGATGCCCTTCCAGCTACAACCCAGTACTGGAAAACACCCATACACACTCATTCACACCCTCATACACTATGGAAAATTTAGTAAATTCAATTCACCTATACCCCACGCCAACACGGGCGGAGAACATGCAAACTCCACACAGAAATGCCAACAGCTGTGACTCGAACCAGCGACCTTCTTACTTGTGAGGCAACAGTGCTAACCACTGAGCCACTGTGCTGCCCATGTAATATATTGATAAATCAATTAAAATTTTTGCCAAGCATGTGGTAAAGGCAAAGAAAATGTTAAAAAAAATTTGAAGAATTGTTTTATTTTTTATTTACATATTTACCTTTTTTCATTCAATGTTTTTAGTAAATATTTTTCATTTGTTTTCTCATTTGAAATGTTTTTTTTTTGCATTTACCACATGCTTATAGCATTCATTTCTTTGTTTGTATCGGAAAGCATGTTTGTAATTGTTTTGTGTGAATTTTCTTTCTTTCTTTTCCTTGCATTTACCATGTTTATCATCCAGGCATTCATTCATTCATTCATTCATTCATTCATTCATTCATTCATTCATTCATTCATTCCTTCATTCATTCATTCAAGTATTTATTTATTTATCATTGTTTATTTTATAAAAGTATGTGTGTATAATTTTACAACATGCTTAACATTCATTCTAAATCATTTGTTCATTTATTTCACTGATTAATTAATTAATTAGTCCATTTATAACTTCTAATTAAAGAAATTTTCTACGTCAACAATGTCATAAAATCTAGTTTAATAATCCTTATGTGCACTCTTCCCTCAATCCTAACAAAAGCTACTGTCTCGTCAGTTTTAACACCATCTATTCCTGAAAGTCACACATACAGTACATTACGACTCCTCACACACAAACATAAACACAAAACTAGTCCTCCAGCATCAGTGTGCATGTGTGGAGCAGGACGTGCAGTGTGGAGGTCATTATCTGTGCCTGTAGCATTAAAGCTGAAGCCACGAAACAGCAGACAGGCGCTAAAGCTCAAGCCATTCATGCTGCTAATGAGAGCCGCTGGACAAACTCGGTCTCTCGCTTGCGGTCAGACACCACCAAGTGTACAATCAGCAGCACCGCTCAAATGGCTAATAGAAGAAGAGCAATCAGAAAGACAAACAAACAAACAAACACACACACACACTGCATACAAACCAGTTAACTTCACTATAGTTTCACTATAATAAGTTATAGTTATACTCTATAGTTTCACTAAAGTTAGACCTTTATTTACTGAAGCACAAGACAATGTTTATGACAATTCTGTATAAAAATATAGGGTTTTTTTTTGCATTTTTGAGGTTATTTTTATGAGCAATTGTGCATTGTATGTTTGGTAAAGCGTTCTGTTGTATATAGTTTTTGTTTATTTTGTTTCATTTGAATTGTTTGCTCAAAGTTTTGTAACAATTTAGCACTTTACTATTTGCTATAAAACACATTTCAGAGCATTAAGAGAGATCATAAAAACATCATAATAAGTCAAAAAAGAAAACAGGTTGAGCTCGTAAAATGTAGGTTTGCTGTATGTCAGCACACATTTAGTCTGTTCTTCCCTCTTTCAGATAATCTGTGTAATGGGAAGTTTCACAAGCACCTGCAGGATCTGTTTGCTCCTCTGGTGGTGAGGTATGTGGATCTTATGGAGTCGTCCATCGCTCAGTCCATTCACAGAGGATTCGAACGAGAGTCTTGGGAGCCTGTCAAGTAAGCAGAACACTTCTTTGCTGATCAATCCAACACTGATTAAATGGGTGTTCTTCATTACTAAAACAACTAAAACTTAATCATGCTTATCCGCAGTCTCACTATTCACACACGCACACACACACACACACACACACACACACACACACACACACACACACACACACACACACACACGCACACACACACACAGTAAAAGCATTTATTTATATGTTGTTGTTTGTTTGTGTGTGTGTGTGTGTGTGTGTGTTCAAAATTCAGAATTCAAAACAGAGTTTGAACAGCACTGGAACATGTTTCAGTTATTTTTTTATTGAGTTGTTTTACTTATTTTTAGTATTATTGTTATCGTTATTATTATTAATTAATTAATATTATTATTTTAAATATTAAGAATAATTAATTCTAAAAAATTAGGTGGATTAAAAATAAAACAACAAATCTGATTTGGATATTGGCACATTTTACTAGAAAATGCAATTTTTGATTTGTCAACTTTATAATTTCATATTTATTTCAGCATGTTGTGCATTTGTTTTATTGTGTTATGTTTAACAGCTAGATGAGTCCAACAAAATGAAGAGATGATAGGCTTTGTGACCTTTTGTTTTCTTGAATCTTACTAGCTTTTAAAAATAAATGTTGTTTGGGCATTTTCAGTTTACAAGTTTTATGTCCTTTAACTAATCCCTATTGAACTTTAGCATAAATTCTCGCATGTTTTTTTTTTTTTTTTTATCTACATGTCATCAGAAATACTTTGATTCTTTCAACAAAGCAGCACAAGACAGAATGTGTGACTAAAGGAATATAAATGCTAATTCAATCAACAATCTGCAGTTCAGCAGAAACAAACGTGTTTTATCATAAAGCCAGAGACAATGATGTGATTCACTGCTTATAATGTGTTCTTCTCATCTCTGCACACCATCTTATCTCTGAATTCATCATATTGTGCTCGGATTTTTGTTCTGTGTATTTTCAAGACTCTCTTTTTATTTATTTAACGAGCCATGTTTTTTGTGTTGTTTTTGTTTTAACATTCAGTGTTTGTGTTGACATTGTTTTCTTTTTCTTTAACCCTCTTTTGATAAGTTTTGTTTGTTTGTTTGTTTTTTATTGCATTTTCATGATTCAGTTTTCAATTTGTTTTGATTTGCTCGATTTGTGTTTTATTAAGCCATGTTGTGCTTTGTTTCATATTCTTGTGATTCAGGTTAGCTTTTCATTTACTTGCTCTATTTTACTTTCATTTTATTTCATTATATTTTGTTTTATTTTATTTTAAGTTGAATATACTTCTCATCTCTTCAACATCATTAATTCTTCATTTTTCTCAGCATGTAATTCACTCACACTTTCTTCTTTGCATCTTCATCACTGCATTCTTTTCTCTGTGTTTGTTTCTTTTTCTGCAGGAGTTTAACAAGTAGTCTCCACAGTGTCAACCTCCCAAATGTGAATCTACAAATGCCTAAAGTACCAAATCTACAAGTTTCGGTTAATCTGCCACCAATGCAAATGCCTAGCTTTTCCACATCCAACTGGATACCGGGTTTATCAGATACCGAGTGTGTACTGAATCTCTGCTGAATCCTCATACTGTATGCATGTGTGGCTTTAGCATTAACAATCTGAATTTATACTTGAGCTAATTCAGATTCACTCCAGATAGTTGTGGGTCACCGACAAGAAGCATCAAAGCAATAAGAACGCAATACAACTGAGTAAAGAATAATGATTAGCATTCAGGATTTATAGAACTTCTAGCCACTAAAATCTCATCGTGGGCTACGGTAGAATATTATATTATTGTCAGGTGTATTTAGAACAAGAATCAGTTGTAGACATATTGAAAGAATATTTTTAAGGATCGCAGTGCATATACTAATTCATTGTAATTTTAAAACTTTACATTTTTGACACTATCCTTTTAACTATTTGATCAGCTAGAATTTTTAAATATATTACTAGTATTTAAAATGTCTTAAATTTAGTATAATTATATCATTTTTATATATAAGTGCAAGTCCTAATATTTCATTCTTACCTAAATATATCTGCGTCACTGAAAGATGTTGGAGCATTATTTAATCCAAATTTAAACATTTTATTTTCATAAACCTTTTTTAAAACATAGAACCACATTAATTTAATATGCAAAAAAATGTGTGTACACAAAATCACGCAAATGTAATTTGATGTGGGCACTGAGATCTCTTTAAGAAGTCTTAAGCAATATTTGTTTTTGTGAGTATTTCAACTTTTTTCCTTCATTCATTTTACTTTGGCTTAGTCCCTTTATTTATCAGGGGTCATCACAGTGGAATGATCCGGCAAATTATCCAGCATATGATTTACACAGCGGATGCCCATCCAGCTGCAACCCAGTACTGGGAAACATCCACATGCACTCATTCACACACATACATGACCAATTTAGTTTATTCAGTTCACCTATACAGCATGTCTTTGGACTTTTGGAGGAAACCCACACGAACACAGGGAGAACATGCAAACTCCACACAGAAATGCCAGCTGGCCCAGCTGGGACTCAAAACAGTGACGCCACAAGGTTAGCCAAATAGTTCAACTGCAAATAGAATAACTCAGAACCAGAAAATTAATCTCCAGTAGATTTATATGTTTGTATTTAGGTTTTTGCAAGAAGAACAACAACAACAAAAGATTTCCAATTTGACACAATCTGTTGTTGATTTACTATGTTTGGGATCATCGGAATGTGTTGTAATGCAAAATAAACACAAACAGATGCTTTGACATTCTGTTATAGATAAGCAGATGCTCTGCAAGAGGACAATATCTCACTATTTTGTTGTTTTTTAGATCAAATATTTAGGTTGTTTTTATTATTATAAATGTTATTGTTATATGATAGTGTACCATATGCGTCAAATTATGTAGTAGTTTTTAATGTGCATCAAATTCAATTTTCAAAACTGATTTAATATGCATAATAAGCAAGAATGTGCACTATACTGTAACTTTTGTGAAAATAAGAATGAAGTAATATTATATTATCATTCAGTGATTATTGCACTTTTATTGTTTTGATGCTTTTAAACACCAATTCAATTGATGCAATTTAGATTTGTTTATTCATTGACAATTTGGATTGATTTTTTTCAATCTTCCAGGTTTAAAATACAAGCAGTGCAAGTTATATTTACTACTTTCCTAAAATATCTTAAGTTTTATTTATTTATTTTTTTATCTTAATTGAACTCATTTTTGAGTACATTCTTGCTTGGCAAAAGGACTATTTTTTAAGTTAAAACATACAAAAGAAAAAAATAAATAAAGCACCATGAGTTGAAAAAACATCATTAACTACTGTGCTTGTTACTGAACATTTTAACAATTATACATCCTAATATTACATTATATACACACTACAAATTCATATAATGCCATGTAATTCAAATGAACCTTTTTTCTTAAAACTGTACATGCAAAAGTAACTACTGAGTTTACATATGTGTAAATATTCTACTTATTTGACACGCAGGTATTTGTGATTTAGGCAGATGACAGAGGTGAATTTTGGCTTATATTTAGACATGCTAATTAAAAATCGATTCTACAAACCCAGACGAGAGCGAAATACCTTCAGCGCTGCATGTGTTGGGGAAAAATTAGGCATGCAAACACAGACATAATTACACATGCTGAGTGACATTCAGTGTAAATATTCCAGCTCTAAGGTGTAATGGCGGGTAAACACCAAAGCTCGCCAAAACTAGATGAAACCACCACATCTCAGTCATAAAATATCCAACTTTAAATGTAGAGACTGTGCCTACAATTAATTTGAATAATGAATATGTTATGCTAAGGCCACAACATGAAAACAGTCGATGATTCTTAACCCCCCTAAAAACACTAAGCATGTTGAAAGGTTGGAAGATACAAACACCATAGAAATATGAGCAATATTTGAAAGCTAAATATTAAAGTTGAAATGAGTCTGCAATAGCACTGTAAACAATTGCAAAATGATTAAAAAAACATTATTTCTTATTTAAAATAATGAGGTCAGATGCAAAAGACGGCTAGTTTTGTTTTTTACTTTGAAGATCTGTTTTATCATCTTTTTAAAACTAGCCTCGATTTGTTTTGTTTTTAATGTTCTCTCAATTTGCCAACCTTGTAGGATTTATATGAAGCTGTAGAAACTGTCATAAAGTCCCTCCCCCAGAGAATTGTTAGTCTATAGCGATCAATGATTGACTCAATTACTAGAGAGCACGCCTTCCTTTACTAGATTGTCCATATTGCAATTTTCCCCATTCAAAACTATACAAGTAATATTTCTTATTCTATAGTTTCAAAGTGCTGACAGAGATTGACTTTCAATGTATGAGTCACATACTTTATTTAAATACTATAATTATGTAAGTATTTAAATATAAATAAGTTATCAACAGTCCAACTTAAGATGTTAGTTGATCCAGTGTAATAAATGAAGATTATCCTAAACAAACAAAATAAGATAGTGATGCTGCTTTATTGTCTTGTATCTATCCAACATCTTTCTCCTTTTCCTATTTTTATTAACATATGTTACAGGTGTCTTTCCTATTTCCTCCTGCTGGGTTTGGGGTTTTCATTTGTTGTTTTTGGGGTAGTTAATTTGTTTGGATTGGGAATTCCGAGGGAAAAACATGTCATGCTTCTGGTCCTGTCCTGTTTCCCTCATCTCAATTGTGAAAACAGCGCTCTGAACTGATAAATATGCAAGAGTCAGACAGTCATCAGCTTTCAGTAGAAACCACATATATGTGGATGGAAGCATTGCAACTGTAGAATAATGCCATATATGACATCTATCTACAGTTGCAATGCTTCCATCCACATATACACTACCATTCAAAAGTTTAGGGTCAGTTTATTGGGGGGAGTCACTGCTTTTTCGTTGTATTTCTTACTATTTTTATTACTATTGCCATTAATATTAATATTAATAATAATAACAACTAATATTAGAATGATGTCTGAAAGATCATGTGATTCTAAAGACTGGAATGATGAAAATTCAGCTTTAAAATCACTGGAATAAATAATTTAAAACAGTTATTTTATGGTGCAATAACATTTCACAATTTTACAATTTGTACTGTATTTTTGATGAAATAAATGCAGCCTTGGTGAGCAGAAGAAGATTATTTTAAAACATTTAAAAAAATGTGGCCCCAAACTTTTGGGATATCACATAATTAAATGCGGAAAGAAAACCACAAGAATAAATAATATCAATATATATGTAAAAAAAACTCAATCTGACCTCTAGCTGTCTTGAACCAGTAATGAATTCATTCTCTTGAATGTGGTGTAAATGGTATTTTTTTTACAAATATCTAACACATAAGTTAAATTTGCAACTTTGGATGGAAACTTCTCACAACAGCCATTTTTAGTGTTTGTGGAACTATGGTTTTTACAAGAGTATCTATTTTCTTTAATTGCTGATTTTAAACATCCCATTATGAGAAAAAATGTATTTTTTGACCTATTTAAAAATGTTTGAAATTTCTCTGTATTTCTATTTTTTCTAAGTAACTTTATTAATTTTTTAATACTCATAAATTAATTTACTGCGATGGAGGAAAAAATATCCACACTAGGTTTTTGATGGTTCTCTAGATTTGTTATTAATATGCATGCATCCACATTTTCTGGCCTTTTTTCACAAAATTGTGAAACGTATTATGTTTAAACAATAATGTAAAATCCAAGGTCTGAAAATACAAAACATTTTAAATTGACATACTGTTGGTTAGCTAATAGTACATAAAATAAAACTCCTTTTTTGTTACTTAAAACACATACAGTTAAAGTCAGAATTATTAGCCCCCCTTTGTTTTTTTTCTTTTTTAAATATTTCCCAAATAATGTTTAACAAGAGCAAAGACATTTTCACAATATGGATGATAATATTTTTCTCTTATGGAGAAAGTCTTATTTATTTTATGTCGGCTACAATAAAAGCAGTTTAAAAAATTTTAAACACCATTTTAAGGACCACATTATTAGCCTCTTTAAGCTATATATTTTTTCGATAGTCTACAGAACAAACCATCATTATACAATAACTTGCCTAATTATCCTAACCTGCCTGGTTAACCTAATTAACCTAGTTAAGCTTTTAAATGTCACTTTAAGCTGTTTAGAAAGGTCTTAAAAAATATCTAGTAAAATATTATTTACTGTCATCATGATAAAGATAAAATAAATCGGTTATTAGAAATGAGTTATTAAAACTATTATGATTAGAAATGTGTTGAAAAAATCTCTCCGTTAAACAGAAATTAGGGGAAAAAATAAACAGGGGGGGGCTAATAATTATGACTTTAGTTGTACATACAGTATCAAATACAAATCCAGAAATCTGGTAATAAACTTGAAATTATCTCTTAATTTTCCTGAATTATATTCAATAATAAATAAATAAATGATAGTTCTTAATATTTTATAAGCTTACATTTACATTAATGATTATAATAATAACAAAAATAACCATGTTGATAATAATGATAATAAATAAGTAACACTCCCTACTATGACAACTTAATTATTACAAAGTATATATGTAATAATTTGTATTGGATTACTATAAATGATTATATTATTATAAATGAACAAATTAATGTATATAAATCATTCTGCTGCAGCATGTGAGTATATTTTAAGTCTGTTTGAAATTACCCTTTTTTAGTAGAACTAGCATTTGTACAAAGAAGCATGTATAAAAGTCCATCTTAAATTTCTGTATGTTTCCACTGAAGATGCCTTGATGGCCTGCTGGCTGTTTGAGGACTTAGGCTGTAAGGAATAGTGCCAGAGTCAGTCTCTGCTTTTTACCATTTATTACAAAAGGATTGAATTTTTGATTGAATATCAGGGACCGTCTCTCCTCCTTCCACACACATTAACCTTAACATTGTGATCCTGCTGTTTTCCTTTGACAACATTGTGCATGTTTAACCTTCCCTGTTCTCAAACAACCAAAAGATTGTTTATACTATTTTGTTTCAGAGTTAACCCTTTATTTTTTCCATGGACTGATCAGCACAAACATCTGCAACGATCGGGAAGTGGTAAAAAATAACCAAACCAAATGTATGTGGACATGAAACAGTTTTTGTCTTCTTTAACAACCCGCCTTCCTCTGAGCTGTCCCGTATTCCTGACATTTTTGGGGCTGTCCTTTCCTGATTTACAGTTGTGGTTGAATAAACTGTGTTCTGTGGTGTTTTCAGCAATGGTTCGGGGACGTCTGAAGATTTGTTTTGGAAGCTGGACGCTCTGCAAACATTCATTAGAGACCTGCACTGGCCAGAAGAAGAGTTTGCCAAACATTTGGAGATGCGACTTAAACTCATGTCCAGTGATATGATCGAGTCCTGTGTTAAAAGGTGAGAACAGAACACACAAATACATATACATATACACTCACACTCACAGGCCACTTTATTAGGTACACCTTACTTGTACCGGGTTGGACCCCCTTTTGCCTTCACAACCACCTTAATCCTTATTGGCATAGATTCAACAAGGTACTGGAAATATTCCTCAGAGATGTTGGTCCATATTGACATGACAGCAGTTGCTGCAGATTTGCCAGCTGCACATCCATGATAGCCATCAGAAGATGGCTACACTAAGGTCATAAAGAGATGGATATGGTCAACAACAATACTCAGGTAGGCTGTGGTGTTGACATGATGCTCAATTAGTACTAATGGACCCAAAGTGTGCCAAGAAAATATCCCCTACACCATTACACCACCACCAGCACCAGCCTGAACAGTTGATACAAGTCAGGATTGATTCATGCTTTCATGTTGTTAACGCCAAATTCTGATCCTACCATCCGAATTTTGGAGCAAAAAACGAGACTCATCAGACCAGGCGATGTTTTTCCAGTCTTCTATTGTCCAATTTTGGTGAGTCTGTGCGAATTGTAGCCTTGTTTCTTGTTCTTAGCTGACAAGGCATTTGCGCCTACAGAACTGCCACTCACTGGATATTTTCTCTTTTTCAGATCATTTTCTGTAAACCCTAGAGATAGTTGTGCATGAAAATCCCAGTAAATCATCAGTTTCTGATATACTCAGACCAGCCCGTCTGGCACCAACAACCATGTCATGTTCAAAGTCACTTAAACCACCTTTCTTCCCAATTCTGATGTTCAGTTTGAACTGCAGCAGATCTGGTATTGACCATGTCTTTGTGCCTAAATGCATTGAGTTGCTGCCATGTGATTGACTGATTAGAAATTTGTGTTAACAAGCAGTTGGACAGGTGTACCTTATAAAGTGGCCAGTAAGTGTATTTCTATATTTGTTGTATGTTATATATCTATATCTGATCTATATCTACTCACTTAATACTTGATATATCTATATCTACATTCATAACACTTAAAAAACAGTAGACGAGAAGTATGTCAGTAACCCCTGAGATTTTGAAGTGTGCATCCAAAGAATCCAATTTACAATGCCATAAGGCCACAGAAGAGAATTTGACAAATTGTAGTGATACTGTTAGATCATTCTTTTTTTCATCTGAATTTTATCTATATATTTAGAAAATACATTTTAATGGTCATAAAGTGAGCTCCAATTTAAATCTAGTATCAATTTTACCTTTCAAAAGCAGTAAATGTGTATTTGAGAAATATCTTCTGTTTGACAGGGTGATTTTCAGTGGATGTCTGCATCTGTAATCCTCCTCTTAAAGTGTTGTGAAGCAGGATTCATCAAGTTGCTCTTAAGGCATAATAAACTCTTTGTTGTTCTTGCTGTGAGTGCAGACGTGATTTAAAGTGCTTTGAGAAACTGTTGTTAGTAATGTCATGGTAATTTGCTGATTCAGAAGATCATCTGGCTTAACGAGTAAAATAAGCCACCCCTATTTCTTTTTCTAGTCAACATAAACATTCTTTTATTTTATTTTATTATTATTTTTTGGTACACATAATTTTTTTAATTACAATAAATTATAATATAATATTATTATAAATATTTTCTTCAGAAATTACCATTCATTATTATAGTGATGTAACGTTCGAGGTTACTAAAGTAACCCTTCGTTCCCCGAGGAGGGGAACGGAAGCACTATAAGTGGATTTGATTTGTAAAATCCACGCATTGGGAGGATTCGGATCAGAAGCCGCTTGTCTGGAGAGTATTGAACGGGCCAATGAATGAAATTAATTGGCAGCGTAAGCTTGCGCAGGTGTGCGACATCTGCAATTATCTCAGCATATAAGCACACCTGAAGCCAGCAGACGCCATCCTTTTAAGCTGAAGAGACTTTCAAACAGCTAAGGGACAGTCATTATGGCGACGGAGTATAGTGCTTCCGTTCCCCTCCTCGGGGAACGAAGGGTTACTTTAGTAACCTCGAACGTTCCCCTTCGGGGGGAACTTCAGCACTATAAGTGGATTTGATTTGTAAAATCCACGCATTGGGAGCCCATTGAAAGCGCCATAATGACTGCACCTTACCAACACCCCCGATGAGGAGATAGTCAAGCAAGCGTGACGCACCCACATCATGGGGGGCGCGGTCCTCCAACGTGTCCCTGGCCCTAATTTATCCTACTTCAACAGAAGTTTTACGGATTTAGATATATTTTTTGGGAAGTCGTGAGCATCTAGATAATTCTAGGAAATACGACAGTACGTTGGGAAGCGTGCAATCCCGATAGGGAGGACGCTGCGGAGGCCATCCGTTACCCAAGGGGGGGATAGATGGCAGAATTTACATATGGACTAGCCCTAAAAAGGGGGAGTACGCATAGCAAAATAGTGGTTAGCGGAGAGGGAAGACACGGGTCCGCCCAGGGGGGGGACTTAACCGTGGCGGAATAAGCATATGGGATCGCCTAGTGGGGATCACGCATAGCAGGCACCTATACCCAAAACGCGGGCTGACCAGCGGGCAGACCTACAACGTAGTGGGCCAGCAAGTGACTCCTCCGCTGAGTCAGTGCTGGGGGCCACGGAGGAATCTGCAGGGCTCACCTGACGGGGAACTTTACTGACAGATAAAAAAGGCGCACGTACCTCCGTGTTAGGGAGAATGGCGCAGCAAGCGTGTTTCAACACCCTACCGAGTTGTCTCCTCAATCACCAAAGGGTTACCTAATACCCTTGAGGAAACCGGCTCCACTCGCAGATTGTAAAACCTTGCAAATGTGTTGGGTGTCGCCCAGCCCGCAGCTCTACAGATGTCTGTTAGAGAGGCGCCGCGTGCACGCGCCCAAGAGGATGCAACGCTCCGAGTGGAGTGTGCACGAACTCCCGGGGGACACGGCTGACCTCGACTCGAATAAGCGAGTGAAATGGCATCCACAATCCAGTGGGATAATCTTTGTTTTGATACGGCACTTCCCTGCTGCCGACCGCCATAACAGACAAAGAGCTGCTCAGATGATCTAAAATTCTGAGTACGGTCCACATAAATGCGCAGAGCGCGAACTGGACAAAGTAAAGAAAGGGCTGGGTCTGCCTCCTCCGGGGGCAGCGCTTGCAGGTTCACTACCTGATCTCTAAAGGGGGTGGTAGGAACCTTGGGCACATAACCGGGGCGGGGTCTCAGGATGACGTGAGAGTAATCCGGCCCGAATTCCAGGCACGAGTCACTGACCGAAAATGCCTCCAGGTCCCCGACCCTCTTGATGGAGGCCAACGCAACCAGCAGAGCTGTCTTCAGGGACAGAAATCTTAGAGATACTGATTCGAGTGGCTCAAAGGGATCGGATCGCAGACTCGTGAGAACGAGGGCGAGATCCCAAGAGGGCATGAGAGGGGGGCGAGATGGATTAATTCGCCTAGCACCCCTAAGGAACTGGATGACCAGGTTATGCTTTCCCACGGTGCCGCCAGCTACCGCGCTATGATAAGCGGAGATGGCGGCCACGTAAACCTTGAGAGTGGAGGGCGACAGCCTGCTGTCCAACTTCTCTTGAAGGAAAGAGAGCACAACACTAATCTGGCAATTTCGGGGGTCTTCTCTGCGAGAGACGCACCATTCAGTGAATAGACTCCACTTCAGGGCGTAGGCGCGCCTCGTGGAGGGGGCTCTAGCCTGAGTGATGGTATTAACCACCGCAGTCGGTAGGTTACCTAAGTCTTCCTCGCGTCTAGGGACCACACGTGGAGGTTCCAAAGATCGGGGCGAGGGTGCCAGATGGTGCCCTGTCCATGAGAGAGTAGGTCCTCTCTCAAAGGGATCCGCCAGGGGAGGGCCGTCGCGAGGAGTGAGAGCTCTGATATCCAGGTCCGGTTGGGCCAAAGGGGCGCAACTAGCAGAACCTGTTCCTCGTCCTCCCTGGCCTTGCACAGAAACTGCGCGAGCAGGCTCACTGGGGGAAACGCATACTTGCGCATGCCCCGAGGCCAGCTGTGGGCCAGTGCATCCGTGCCGAGAGAGCCCTCGGTCAGGGAAAAAAACAACTGGCAATGAGCGTTCTCGGGGGAAGCAAACAGATCGATCTGGGACTCCCCGAATCGCGCCCATATCAGCTGAACAGACTCGGGGTGGAGTCTCCATTCTCCAGGACGTAACAGCTGTCGTGAGAGCGCATCGGCTGCACGATTGAGCGTGCCTGGGACGTGAATGGCGCGCAGCGATTTCAGCCGCGGGTGACTCCAGAGGAGCAGACGGCGGGCGAGCTGAGACATGCGGCGAGAGCGCATACCCCCCATGCGGTTGATATACGCCGCCGCCGCCATACTGTCCGTCCTGACCAGCACGTGTTGCCGCTCCAGCACCGGTAAAAAGCGGTGGAGAGCGAGGAACACTGCCAACAGCTCTAGGCGATTGATATGCCAATGCAGCTGGGCACCCTTCCAGAGGCCCGCAGCCGCATGCCCGCGACACACGGCCCCCCAACCCGTGTTGGAAGCGTCTGTTGAAACAACAACATGGCTGGACGCCTGTCCTAGAGGCACACCGGCCTGTAGGAACGAGGGGTCGTTCCAAGGGCTGAGGGCGCGGCGACACAGCGCAGTAACCGAGACCCGGTGTGTGCCCGCGTGCCATGCGCGTCTGGGGACCGATCGTGAAGCCAGTGCTGAAGTGGTCTCATATGGAGCAACCCGAGCGGCGTGACGGCGGCTGCGGATGCCATATGCCCCAGGAGCCTCTGAAAGAACTTCAGTGGGACCACTAGTTTGCTGTCGAGCTCCCTCAGACAGTTCAGCAACAGGCGAGCGCGTTCCTCTGAGAGGTGCGCTACCATGGTGATCGAGTCCAGCTCCATCCCGAGAAAAGAAATCCTCTGCACGGGGGCGAGTTTGCTCTTTTCTCGGTTGACCTGAAGCCCCAGTAGGCGGAGATGCCGAAGCACCTTGTCCCTGTGCATAATCAATTGCTCCCGCGAGTGGGCTAAAATCAGCCAGTCGTCGAGATAATTGAGCATGCGAATGCCCGCGAGCCGAAGGGGCGCTAGGGCACCCTCCGCGAGTTTGGTGAAGACCCGCGGAGACAGAGAGAGCCCGAAGGGGAGGACCTTGTACTGCCACGCTCGATCCTCGAACGCAAACCGCAGAAATTGGCGGTGGCGTGGAAGAATGGAGACATGGAAATACGCGTCCTTCAGGTCTATGGCTGCAAACCAATCCCGAGGACGAACGCATTGGAGAATGCGCCTCTGCGTGAGCATTCTGAACGGCAGCCTGTGCAGACAGCGGTTCAAAATGCGCAGATCTAGGATTGGCCGTGACCCACCGCTCTTTTTGGGTACGATGAAGTATGGGCTGTAAAACCCACTCTCCATCTCGGCTGGAGGAACCGGCTCGATTGCACCCTTCGCCAGGAGGGCAGCAATCTCCTCTCGCAAGACAGGGGCGGACAGGGGGTTGACCCTGGAGAAATACACGCCCATAAACTTGGGGGGCCGTTTCGCGAACTGAATCGCGTAACCGAGTCTGATTGTGCGTATGAGCCACCGCGAGGGGCTGGCCCGCGCTAACCAGGCAGGCAGAGCCCTCGCTAATGGAGTCATCGCTACAATCGCTGACGTACCAGCGGTGGGGCAGCGCGGAGTGGGTGTGCTGATCCGGGAAGCACGAGGGTCCCGCGGAAGAGCTGGAGGAGAGCGATTCGCTCTGGCTCCGCACCCTGACTCCGGAGAGGGGGCTGGAGGGCTGAGGGAAGGGAGACCGTCCCCCCAGCGCTCGTGAGCCACTGGCGAAGCACGTAGAGTCTGCGAGCCGGAAGGCAGCGCGTCCCGGACTGGCAGAACTCGTGCAGTCACATCCGGGGAAGGGAAAAAGTGCTCTTTTACTGATGTTTTGGTGGCACTGAAAAGTACCGTTGTTATCGGGGCCCCGCCCTCCAGCGGGGAAAGAGCAAGTTTCCTCTTCTCCGGATGGCCTGTCTCAGGGACGCTTCGCGGTCCGTTTACCGGACTTAACGGCGCCCTGGGCAGGAGGGGCTGCCTGCTTTCGAGGTGAACGCCGCGCCCGCTTGGCCGGAGGCGCAGGCGGGGGCGGGGCAGCACTCGTTGGCGGGCGCCCTCGGCGAGGAACAGCGGAGGTGGATGGCTCGGCGGGCGGAGCGGGCTTACGGCCACGCCGATAGATGACATTGCCCATCGCATCCGACTGCTCTTTCACCGCCTTGAATTCCTGGGTGAATTCACCGACGGTGTCGCCGAACAGGCCAGCCTGGGATATGGGCGAGTCAAGAAAGCGAACTTTGTCAACGTCGCGCATATCGGCCAGGTTTAGCCAGAGGTGGCGTTCCTGAACCACAAGTGTGGACATCGTCCTCCCCAGCGCACACGCGGCGGACTTAGTAGTCCGAAGAGCATAGTCGGTCGCGGTGCGCAGCTCATGTAATAAGCTTGGGTTGGACCCGCCCTCGTGCAGCTCGGCCAGCGCCTGCGCTTGGTAGCGCTGGTAGGTGGCCATCGCGTGCAAAGCAGAAGCAGCCTGGCCCGCAGCCTTATAAGCTCTGGCTCCGAGGGAGGCAGACAACCTACAGGCTTTGGACGGGAGGCGGGGCAAACCCCGCCACGTAGAGGCGCCGCGCGGACAAAGATTGACCGCGATAGCGCGCTCCACTGACGGGATCGCCTCATACCCCCTGGCAGCTCCGCCGTCAAGGGCGGTGAGGGCGGAGGCACTCGCAGCACGGGCAGAGAAAGGTGCCCTCCAAGACTGCGTGAGCCTACTGTGCACTTCCGGGAAGAAGGGGACGAGAGGCTTCGAAGGCTTCGCCTTCTGGTCCTCTACGTAGCACCCATCTAGTCGGTCCGGCCGCGGAGCTGGGGGATAAACCATCTCCAACCCCACGGCCGAAGCAGCCCGGGAAAGCACGGCTAACATGTCCGCTTCAGGATCCGATTTGACAGCGCTCACCTGCCCGGAGGGGGCGAGCGGGTCCGGATCTTCGTCGGACAGTGAAAGCCCACCCTCCGATGCCGCGGAGGACATCTGATCTCCGGTGTCAGCGAGTGTGAGAGCTACCATCTGGTTAGACGGATCACTCTCACCACCCGAAGCTTGGATGGAGCGCCGTGAGGAGCGAGAGGTCCGCGAGCCCGTGGGCGGCGGATTATCTCCCGCTGAAACCCTCAGATCTGCCCGAGCGCCCGCTGCTTTTTTAGAACAGGAGGCAACTGGGGTGGCTCGCTCTCTTGCGAAAGTTAGCCGCGATCTTAGCTGTGCAACGGTCATGGCATCGCAATGACGACATGAACCGCCCGCGAGCACCGCATTAACATGCTGGACCCCCAAACATGCAATGCAGTGATCGTGTCCATCATCCGGAGCCAGGAAACCCCCGCATCCAGAAACGCACAGTCGGAGCGCCATCCTGAAAAGGACGTGCTGCACGACTGTGTTGCTCTTTTAGGAAAGTTGCAACTATACGCACCGCTCTGGAGGACCGGACCCAAAGAACCGCAGGCAAGGGAGTAACCCAGCTCGACCGTCTGCCACCGCGAAGACCCACTCTGGACCGGGAGACACACTCGTTCGCTCTGAAGTGCTGATCAGCAAGAGGAACCCTCATCGACTCACTCAGAAAGGATCTGAAGCGAAAAGGATGGCGTCTGCTGGCTTCAGGTGTGCTTATATGCTGAGATAATTGCAGATGTCGCACACCTGCGCAAGCTTACGCTGCCAATTAATTTCATTCATTGGCCCGTTCAATACTCTCCAGACAAGCGGCTTCTGATCCGAATCCTCCCAATGCGTGGATTTTACAAATCAAATCCACTTATAGTGCTGAAGTTCCCCCCGAAGGGGAACTGACTTAATGTGTATCAATTAAATAATAATAATAATAATAATAATAATAATAATAATAATAAATGGATTTGTTTCCCTAATTTCATTGGCCAACTTTTAATAAAACCAAAAACAAAAAGAATGGTGTATTTTTGCTCCAAGACCAATCAGATTTATGTTGTTTCAGAACGAGAGCAGCATTTGAGCTGAAGCTGCAGAAGAGTCCGAGAACCACAGACTTCCGCGTCCCTCAGTCCATCTGCACCATGTTCAACGTCATGGTGGATGCAAAGGTTCAGTCTGCCAAACTGTGTGCCATGGAGCTCAGCCAAGAGGTACAACACAAGCCACTATACAGACCACATTTCTTATGTTTATCACTGCAAACACACACACAGTTAAACACCCTCATAATGTGCTGAGCTGTTTCCAGTAAATCCATTATTTAAACTGCATGAGTTGATCGTATGATACAGTATAGTATATATACAGTATGTATATATGAAGATGTTTTTAAGGTGAGACACTGGGAAAAACACTGCTTTTCATGCACTTTTCAGTTTTAAGATTTATTTTTTAATGTCTGATGTACAGAAAACATCTGGAATGCAAAATGCACTTAACTTCATTGCCCCTGATTTCAGTATATATATATAGAAACATATTTATATTTTAGATTTTTACTAAGCAGTCAGAGAGGACGAAATTAGATCTAAATTGGCTGCAAAATATTTGTACACCATTAGTAATGACTAATCAACTCATTTGCGTTATTGAAAAAAATCTACACAATTTATTCTTGTAATTATTATAATTTTTAGAGATATGGTTTGGTTTTATTCCTTTTTTATTTTATTTTATTATTTTATTATTTTATTATTATATTCTTAATATTTTAATGTTAATATAGTTATCATATTTTATACATCTAAAATGCTTTGGCAATACTATACAAAATATCATGCCAACAAACAACCTAAACTTGATTAGAGAGAAGCAGATTTTACCTCTCAGTGGGTGCACATGGCTTCTGAATAGCATAAAAGTAAGAGAAATAGTGGATTTTTTAAATAATATTAATCCATTGAACAGAAACAGTGTGTACAGTTTTATACAAAATTAAAATAATGTTAAAAATCTACTTATGTTTTGTTTGTCATATACAGTTAACTTTTTATGTGATGTGGGTAAAACGTGTGTTTCAATCTGGTTACCACCACAAGTGTATTTCAAACCTGTGGAAAGCACTGGAAAACGTTTTATCAATCAATCAATCAATCAATCAATCAATCAATCAAGCTGAATTTATCGAGTGTTGAGATTTTTATAATTTTTTGTTTTAGGTTTTTTTTTAGTTCAACAACTTTTTTTTCTTTTTGTGCAAGAAATTTATGCAAATGAGGGTATATTTTATTAATTAATGCCTCATTTGTATATTTAAACATTTTAGAAAACTTGTAATTCAAAATCACAAATAAATATAGTGCAGTTAATCGACTCATTTTAGACAGTGTTTTAGTAATTGAATTCCTTTGTATGTTTTGTTCGTTTTTTTAAACACCTATAATTTCACCTATAATTTGTATAATTTTAGTTAATTAATTTAATTTTTGGTTATTTTAGTTTTTCTTTTTTGTAAGAATTTTTCTTTTGAGTGAAAAATCTGGAAATTAGCACTAAACTTTAAATAATGGCCCGTTTACATATTTAAGTGTAACATTTCAGAAAACTAAATACAAAAAGAGTTTTAGTCATTAATGTAATCAATCAACTGGTGAAGCCCTCATATATTTCCAACTGAACCTGAACATCGAGTAGGGGCAGGCCTTTCTTTTTACACATCATTCTTTTGTTGCCAGCTAACAGTAAGAGAGGCGTGGTTAAGAATATGTGTAGCTGAAGCTGTGAAACTGATTTCAGCAGAGAAGGACCGCCGCTCTAAGCGCAGAAGACAATAATCTTTAACTGAAGATTACCAAAACTTTTTGAACAGACAAATTGTTTGCCTACAAAATAACAATGTGCGCTAGCAAAATAAAGAATGTAAATTTCGATTTAAGGCTGACTTTAACCCTGTTCACTCGCAGTGTCTTTCCTTAAATGTACAGACACACACACACACACACACACACACACACACACACACATACACACACATTTGTTTCTGATTTTTTAATGAAATGCATTTAAAGAATGATTCACCAGCATGGCTAATTGTTTTCCATTGTTTCTGAAATGTTTGATTTGTGTGCTGGAATGAGACGTTTTCTTTTTCTCTCTGTTGCTCTCTAATCGTCACTGTCACCTCGTCTGCCGTATCTTTCTTTTCATCCCTTTTCTCAATCTTGTGAAAGTTTGTTAGAGAATGGGTAAGTGTGGCTAACAATTCAATTGAATTCTCACCTTTATGTCCCAAAGGTATAATTAGCAAAGCTAGCAGTTTCCCCCAGTCCTCTGACACTTAAATTGTTTTGATTATATTACCATATGTGATAGCTGCTTCTGAATATACATGTGCTAGAAGTGAGACATCTCATATCCGTAGCATCTTGAGACAGGTAATGATCTGAACTGAATTAATTACCCAGACGGCCTTTAGATGAGATCAGTTCAGACAAAGGGATTGAGCTGACACAGTTTATCCCTGGTGAAAAACACCAAAACAGCTCAAGCGAATCTTCCTGCTCATTAGATTTCCTTTTTCTTTTTTTTTCCAGAGACAGTATCACTCGCAAATTGACAATCTCATCGAGGAGACGGTGAAAGAAATGATTACTTTACTCGTGGCAAAGGTAGCAGAAAAAACAAAAAAACTATATTTGTGTTTTTATATCTACTTGGGCTTTACAAATGAGTAAATATAATAGAGATATGTTTGGTTTCTATTCATTATTAAATGTTTTTAAAAATTACAGTATACATTTTGTTGTTAAATCTGTTATGATCGTGTCATATTTTGATTGGCATTAATTTTTTCCACTCTGTGTTTTACAGTTTGTTGTAATCCTAGAGAGTGTTCTGGCAAAGTTGTCACGTTATGATGAAGGCACACTCTTTTCCTCCTTCCTTTCTTTTACAGTAAGAACAAGCTTTATTCTTACTTTTACAGTAAGTTTTTTATTAACACACTTATATGTAATAGATTTATATAGTGGTAATGCTTTTATTTTTTTATTTTTAGTTTATTTAATCTATAAAAATGTTAAATATTTTAAATAAATGAAATAGAAGTGTTTTATTATGTATCTTATGTATTATCTACACTCTCAAAAATAAAGGTACAGGAGTTGTCACTGGGGTAGTACCTTTTTAAACGATACATATTTGTACCCAAATAGTCCATAGTGGGACAAAAAGGTGCATATTAGTACCCAAATGTACCTAATAAGTACCTTTGAGGTACCATTATGTACCCTTCAGGTACAAATATGTACCTTTTGAAAAGTACTGCCCCAGTGACAACTCCTGTACCTTTATTTCTGAGAGTGTATCTTAATCATAGGTTATCTTTAACACTAATTTTATTTTAAGTAACACAAATATTTTAATTTGGTAGTTGTCACAAAATACTTTCATTAAAAAAAAATAACAAGATGGAATAGGTTGTATCGTATATATATATATATATATATATATATATATATATATATATATATATATATGTGTGTGTGTGTGTGTGTGTGTGTGTGTGTGTGTGTGTGTGTGTGTGTGTGTGTGTGTGTGTGTGTGTGTGTGTGTGTGTGTGTGTGTCTTTCATTATGTAATATTCCATAAGTAAACTATTATAAAATATTCAACATATTCAGATTTAAATGATTATTATCTTTTTTTTTAACACTGCATATATATTTTTGTATTTGTAGGTAAAAGCTGCTTCAAAATATGTGGATGTACCTGTAAGTACCTTTTTTTCTCTCTAATATACGCTGAAAAAAATACAAATAAAAATGTTTTATAGCATTTTTATAAATTAATTAAGTTGGACCGTCGTATATATTAGGCTACTAACATTTTATTTAAGGCACGATTTTGTGCTGATGTACTATACATATTGTATTTCCATTGTACTTGTGATTAAAAATGCATAATACCTAATTAATAACTTTGTAGTTAAATCTATAATTACATTATTTACACCTAATCAACCCACACAAACCCACCAATACCACATAACCTGTCCTTGACCTTAGTCTTATCCAATCTGTATATCAACAAACATCTTTAGCTCTACACAATGACCATAAGTAAGGCCAGACAGAATCTGCGGACAGTTTTTTTGCCATTTCTGAGGAGAATTTTGTAAAACAATTTGCAGATTTATGCGGAATGATTTTAGAACCATCATAACTAAAAATGTAATAAATAAAACAAACAAAAAATACTTTTTCAACTTTTATTCAATGTTTACAAAGCAAGTCCAATTAGATCCACTTATTTGGTAAGCAAGTCTTCTATATAATATAATCAATAAAAAACTACAAAAAAATATTACTTTACAAACTGTATTGTAAATAAAATATATGAACATTTTGATATTACTATTATTATATCACAATAATATTAGTGAAATTAACTGAATAAATATAAACTTACACACATTTATACAAGTAAATGCATAGACTCAATGCTCCATACAGTATATGTACAAATTATGGTCATAACAAAAAATGGATTATAACTATGTAATATTATAATATTTCATTAACAGTACTACTAAAAGCTCAGTAAGAGCTTTAACACTAGAACTGACAGGAGTTGTTGTACAGTATATCTACAACGGCCAGTGGGTAAAATGTACCCAATTACCACAAAATGCTTAATGTCCCTGTAATATACCACTGTCTTAACAAAATAATATTCAGAGTCTTTGAATGATTATTTTGAGTCATCCACGATGATGCTGAGTCGACTGATGATATAAGACTCACTCATGATATCAACTCACCATCATTTAACACCTGCTTTTATCAACTGTGACTAAAATGTTCACCACTTTCTCAGAGGGTAAAAGGAATTATCTAGCAGCATGCATCAAGAAATAGATAGTCAGAATCATTTAAAAAACTGTATGTATTTGTGTGTGCGTGCGTGTGTATGTGTGTGTGTGTGTGTGTGTGTGTGTGTGTGTGTGTGTGTGTGTGTGCGTGTGTGCGTGGGTGATTCTACAATAGTAGGTACATTTTGTGTCTCCAAAACAAATCTTCTACTACTTAAATAAAATAGAATTTTGAATACCAACACAAATTATATCAAATATATGTATGTGTATTTAAGGACATTTAAGTTTGAGAACAACTTAAAGACTCTCACAGTATCTATACTTTAAAGTGTCCGCCTCCTGATTAATATTCAGCTTCGGTTATCATGAAATAGTTAAGTCAAATTTTAATCTACTTTGTGTACTAACAAACTGTACTAAGTTAAATAAACATTTGCATGAAGGATAATATAACAAAATCTAATAACAATCTCTAATGCAATGATTGCTTCAAGTGATTTATTGACTTCCTCTGGCAGATTTTTAATTTAATTTAATTTAATTTAATTTAATTTAATTTAATTTAATTTAATTTAATTTAATTTAATTTAATTTAATTTAATTATCATTTATTATTAGATTTAATTAGATTTATTTTATTTTCTTTTATTATTTAATTTAATTTAATTTTATTAAATTTTACTATTTAATTACATTTTATTTAGATTTTATTTTATTGTTTAATTTAATTTAATTTGTTTTTATTTATTTTATCCTCTTTTGTTATTTAATTTTATTTAACTAGATTTATTTAATTTACTTTTATCATTTATTTAAATTGTATTTAATTTTATTCAATTAAATTTTACTATTTAATTAAATTTTATTTTTTTATTTTATTGATAATAATCTTTTAATATATATATATATATATATATATATATATATATATATATATATATATATTATTATTATTAATTTATTAATATTTTGATTTAATTTTACTTAATTTTATTTTAGAAGTCCACTATATGGAGAATAATGCTGTAATATTTTCATCAAAATCCTTTATTTCTTTATGGCTAAAGTAAAAAACTAAAAATACCTTGAATGGGTGGAGTGAGTAAATTATTGGGAAATTTATTTTCATACTGGAACTCAACTAATCCTTAAAGAACAGGTTGTAAAAAAAAAAAAAAAACATACGGTTTTAGTAAAAAGGAATAACTGGGAGACCTGGATATTTGAAGAAAAAAAAACAGCTATGGGGAAACTGAACCCAGTGGTGGTGGTGGTTCTGGTGTTAAGCTAGAGCTGGTAATTGGTGCAGTGCAGATGGCCATCTTTGAGCCACAAATGGCCATTCATATGCATGTGCTAGAGCGTGCTCTCTGTGCTGCTCTCTCTTCTGCAGCAGACAGTGTGATGTGTGTGTTGTGCAACAAAAGCACGTCGTGAGGATGCCGCTGGGTCCAAATCATTGCATTCAGCATCACATCACTGACTTTGCTTCAACTGCCAACACGTTTGGTCTTGACGCAAGACTTTTTAAATTAAAACCCTGTCAATGAATGCCGAAAGCGGGCCAGGTCTCTCTCCTGAGGGTCAGAGAATCTTATATTTCCATGGTAATTGTTTGCTTAATACACACAATAAAATTATGTTTGACAAACTCGCTCATTTGCACCCTCTGAAAGGACTCATGGATGTGTGAAGTAAGTTCAATTTGCAGCGTCTGACAATTACCAATTCTGATGACCTTTGTCTGCCTGCTGGCAAAGGAAGTGTTTAATTCTCCACTGAGGCCGAGCAGGGGGGCAAAACACCCCAGATGATTTACTCTGGATGGGTTTTTTTCGCTTGCTGTAGTTTGTTGAGTTAAATCTTACTAATGAAATAGCATTGTTCTGCTGACGCTCAGTTCAAACTCAGTGACAGCTCGTTTTGCACACTGGTTTGAGTCTGGGACAAGGAAATAAGAATGAAAACACTTTTCATCTGCATGTCAGGTAATACATGGTTTGATAATATGACTGTAGTTGGCAGGACGGTACTTTATGATTACTTTAAGATTAGTTTAGACACAAGAATATTAAAACATACAAATTACATTTACATTTAGTCATTTAGCAGACACTTTTGTCCAAAGCAACTTACAAATGACAAATTCTTTCTGGTTAAATGTGTTTAATTATAATAAAAAATGTGACTCCTGCTAGCAAAATGAGTCAGAATGAGTAACAGATACAGACAAAACAAGTCAAACATGTGAACTTTGGTCAAATTTGAGATTTACAAAAGTGTGTTCATTAAGTCCTCATCTGGTGGTTTTCGAAAAGTTCTAAAAACTTCTAAAAGTGTCTTTATTTTTATGTTTTCTAAGAGGTGTACTACTGCTTCAATTGGAGATTGGGATTCATTAATGATTATAAAATATTGATTAAAAAAATTTTAAGAATCTACCACATCTGATTTCTGTTTTCTAAACATTTAAATAACAGCCATACTGCAGTAATGTTTGTAGTATGAAACACATTTGTCTTTTAGCAATCAACATAAAAGTATAGTATTATGTATCATGTGTCACTTATGCCAGGAGAATTAAAAAGATTTAATAAAAAAGGGCGATGCAGTGGCGCAGTAGGTAGTGCTGTCGTTTCACAGCAAGAAGGTCGCTGGGTCGCTGGTTCGATCCTTGGCTCAGTTGGCGTTTCTGTGTGGAGTTTGCATGTTCATTCGCGTGGGTTTCCTCCGGGTGCTCCGGTTTCCCCCACAGTCCAAAGACATGCAGTACAGGTGAATTGAGTAGGCTAAATTGTCCGTAGTGTATGAGTGTGTGTGTAAATGTGTGTGTGGATGTTTCCCAGAGATGGGTTGTGGCTGGAAGGGCATCCACTTTGTAAAAATGTGCTGGATAAGTTGGCGGTTCATTCCACTGTGGCAATCCCGGATTAATAAAGGGACTAAGCCGACAAGAAAATGAATGAATTTTTTATTAATAACACGCTGACATTGTGTTATTGATTTTGTTTAAGTTAATATTCACAGCTATTACTAACCACAACCATTTTCTTTTCTTTTTTTTTCATTTTTGATCAGAAGTAAAAAAAGAAACACTGAAATCAAACACAGACATACTGTCTACACCAGTGGTCACCAAACTTGTTCCTGGAGGGCCGGTGTCCTACAGATTTTAGCTCCAACCGTAATCAAACACACCTGAACAAGCTAATCAAGATCTTACGAGGTATCCTTGAAACATCTAGACAGGTGTGTTGAGGCAAGATGGAGCTAAATCCTGCAGGGACACCGGCCCTCCAGGACCAGGATTGGTGACCCCTGGTCTACACTATTGAGAGCAACATTTAGTTGAAAATTTCAATAAATTCGGCACTTTTTTTAATTAAACACACAACAAAACCTGACAGATGAAAGATAACAGCAGTTAAGAAAGCCTCTGATCATATATATTTTTGCACAAAACTGTATCTGCAATTCATCTTGTCAACAGATTAGTCTTTAAAGTGAAGCTGTCGTGAAATCTTTATAGTCTTTAATAATTTAGGCTTGGGAGCCTGCATAAATATCACATCCTTTGGATGTTCACAGCTAAAAAAAACATCTTTACACAAAAGTAGTTCCATTGACTTTCATCTATTTACAAATGTAGCAGATCAGAAATGCAAGTTTGTGTGAAATCCTTTTGTATTTCGATACATTTCAGAGTTAAAGTTTGGTGAACCCTGAACTTCATAAAGTTGTCACTGGAAAGTAGATTTACATGTCATTACATGATCTCTTAGCTGAGTTAAAAGACTGCAAACCTTACATTTGCAGAATTGTAATGTTGAAATAATTAAAGTATTTATTATTATTATTATTATTATTATTATTATTACTTTGCGTTCTAACCATATGTTAAATTGTGTTTTTAAAAGATGCTGAAAGAAAGCTATTGTTTTAGTAAATTGGGTCTATTTACTTTATGTGGTGCAGTCAGTTGATTGCTACCAATCAATACCTATTTACACTTTTTACACTGATGCCATTGAATTTTTGTTGCACTTTTTACCCTTTTAAGGTATTTTTTTATTGTCCTTTTCAATTTAATATTCTAAAGAACCGTTATTCACTGTGTAGGATTTTTGTAGAATAAGTAGAGTTCTACGCTCTAAAACGGGTTCCCCAAGTCTCAATTGAAAGATCCATATCATTTATTCATTCATTTTTTCCCAGGCTTAGTCCCTTTATTAATCTGGGGTCGCCACAGCAAAATAAAACCACCAGCTTATCCAGCAAATGTTTTACACAGCGGATGACCCTTCCAGCTGCAACCCATTACTAGAAAACATCCATACACACTTGTTCACACACATACACAATATGGATAATTTAGTTTACCCAATTCACCTACAGCGCATGTTTTTGGACTTGTGGGGGAAACCGGAGCACCCGGAGGAAACCCATGCTAACACAGGGAGAAATTGCAAACTCCACACAGACATGCCAACTGACACAGCCGAGGCTTGAACCAGTGACCTTCTTGCTACCCACTGTGCCACCTAAATTTAAAATGAATCAGGTCCAGATAAATGGATTATAACAAACCTTGTTCTAATAAACAAGGACATAAATCAGTCATTAAAAAGTGCCTTTAGCAATAAATGAAGTATATTAATAACAAGTGCAAAAGTGTCAGATTTACAAGTGACACTTTTTTGTTTTTATAAAGTAAACACAACTGGAGGTAGGCCAAAAGCAACATGGTGCAAAATACAGAGCAGTCTAATGAGAGCAATACCTCGGTCTGTGTTCCATCAGCTGACTATTATTTATTTCATAATACCATTCAACTATCTGGCAACACTCTAGTGTAGGTCAATTCATGTTATTATCAAACCATTAACTTGAGCTGCTTAATAAATCATTAATTAGCTGTTTATTATTAGTAAGGTAGAAGTTTGGTTTATTTTTTGGGTATAAATAGGGATGTAAAATAAGATCATACTTTATAACTACTAACAAACAGTTTTGTTGTGAATTTCTGCATACCTCTCTATAGGATCATCTTTTAAAATGATATTCTCTTCATTAAATTTTAATTTGTTTTATCTGCAAATTGACATCCTTCAAATGTTTACTGTGGTAAAGAGTGTTACCTGATTAAGGCAAACCCCATACGATACGTCATGACAACTGCATCACATGGGAAAACTTTAAACACCACCCTCTGTTTGATTTCAGACCACCATCCCCCCCCCCCCAAAAAAAAAAATAAAAATAAAACATTAAATAAGTAACAAGATTAACAAGAGTCAAGTTTAACATGCATTTATCAAAGCAGTAAATCCAAAAGTGTAATCTCTTACAAATAGTGCACTCTTACAAATAGTGCAGAATAGAGGTGGGTCTGCATTGAATTCTCTCGCAACTTTTAGAATGATGGAATATCTCATCCAGATTTTGGGTAAAATATCGAAAAAACTCAGCCAATGTTGTGTGAGTGTATAGAATTCAGTGTTTCACATTACAAACATCGACAACACTAAAGAACCTTTTATGTTTAAGCATTACATGTTGTAATATTTAAACACTCTTAAACTCTAACACATCTCTCTCTTCTCTCTCTCTTGTCATCATCTGCAGAAGCCTGGGATGGACGTGGCTGACAGCTATGTGACGTTCGTTCGCCACTCTCAGGATGTCTTGCGGGATAAGGTCAATGAGGAGATGTATATAGAAAGGTTATTTGATGTAAGTACTGGCTGTCTTCTCCCTCTCTGAAGGGGGGAGGCCCTCCAAAATGTGACATAAAAGCTAGTTAGGAGGGATAAGTCACATTTTGAGACCCTCTTCTCTGTCTTTTTCTCTGTTGATCTTTTACTCTTTCTGTCTTGCACTGCTTCTCTGCTTCTCTTAATCTTTCCTCTCTGGTTTGCGGTGCTGTGTTTGTTCTGGCTGAAATATTCTCTTTGCTCTGCTCGTTATTTCTAGTGCAAAACTCAGGAGGATTATCTTAAGATGTGTTTTCACACAAAGGGACATGCAGATGTGAGATTAAGCACTTCGAGCCACCTACAAACCAAATCAAAGACAGAAACTAAAAAAAGAATGAAAAAAAAGATATATAGGAGTAAATATGTTCTTTGATTAAAGTTTCTCATCATAGCTAGCAGTTTGATTAAGAAAACAGTAGAAAAGGAGGAGACAAAAGAAAAGGTTATGCTTTTATTTTATTTTGTTTAATATTGGTCACTGTTTTGTTTTTTGTTTTGTTTTGCTTTTTGTTTTATTTTGTTTGTTTACATAAAATATTTAATCACTATTTTGTTTTGTTTGTTTTGTTTCTATAAAATATTTAATCACCATTTTGTTTGGTTTGTTTTGTTTTCTTTCTATGAAATATTTAATCACTATTTTGTTTTGTTTTTATAAAATATTTAATCACCATTTTTTGTTTTTGTTTCATAAAAACATTTAATCACCATTTTGTTTTTTTGTTTTTGTTTCTATAACATATTCAATCATATTTTTTGTTTTGTTTTTATAAAAATATTTAATCAATATTTTGTTTTAATGAAATATTTAATCACTATTTTGTTTTGTTTTTATGAAATATTTAATCACTATTTTGTTTTGTTTTTATGAAATATTTTAATCACTATTTTGTTTTGATTAGATAAAAATATTTAATCACTATTTTGTTTTAAATTGATGAAATATTTAATCACTATTTTGTTTTAATTTGGTGAAATATTTAATCACTATTTTGTTTTGATTTGATAAAAATATTTAATCACTATTTTGTTTTGGTTTGATGAAATATATCAATAGTACACTCTCAGAAATAAAGGTCAGAGAGCTATTACTAGGGTGGTACCTTTTGAAAAGGTACACACTTGTACTTAAATGGTCTATATTGGTACCTCAGAAGTATATATTAGTACCTAAAACATTTAAGAGGTACACTTTTGTACATTTTATTGGTTCTACATGTTATGTAAACACTCTTTTTAGGTTTATATTGCACATCAATATTTTTATGAAATATTTAATCACTATTTTGTTTTATTTCATTTTGTTTTTATGAAATATTTAATCACTGTTTTGTATGAAATATGTAATGTAACAAAAACACTTTTGTTCAGCAAGAATGCATTAGACTGATTGAAAATTAAATTAAAAGCATTTATACATATAATAAAAATACCCATTTCAAATAAAAGAAAATGTCGTAATTTAATTTAATTTAATTTAATTTAATTTATTAATTGTCTTAATATGTTACTACTCTTATTAATTATAGATTTTCCAGAAGTACCATTTCCATTTTTATTCATAATATACTTATATCTGCCTCATTTATGAGTATAGATTTTAATTCGTCATTTAATGACATTTTAAACATGAGAGATCTTGTTAATTCTGCTTTTTAATTTTGAAATAAACATAAGTATTATTATTATTTTATATTTGTCTTATACATATGTAACATATGTACACTACACTTAAAGAGAAATGTTTAGACAAACTTTTTTGTTATTGTTTATCAGTCTTGAAAAAAAAAAAAAGAGTAAATAATCGCACATGTCCTCTTAGGTATTCCATAAAAATAAATAAATAAATAAATAAACATACATATTGGATAACAACCAAAAATCAAACAATCAAAGTGTGAAGGATATATTGTTTTGTTCATTTTAGCTGATAGCCTGTCCGGGAATGAGGGGTGTTACAAGACAACTGCCCTATTTCCGGAGTAAATCTCCCATTAAGGAGATCCAAACAGAAAGAACTCTCCAAACCTCAGGCTTATTGTGATAGAGGCTTAAAGAAAAGGGAAGAATGAGGGAAAACACTGAGCAGTTGAATGAGAAACACTGAAGGGGAAGGGCACACAATGGAGAACACCGTCTTAAGGGATGGCCACGACCATCATGTTGGTTATAATCCTTTTGTCGTGTCTGTATAGACCAGTTTGTTAAGTGTGTGTTGTTGGAGAGGTATGTTTGCATTGTGTGGCTAAAGACTTGTGTTTATATTCAGAAAGAAAGCCAGAACAGAAGCTTCGATTTAGGATCAGCTTTCCTGTTCTGTTCGCTCAACATTGCGAACTCAGGACAAAATGATCTGGAAACCGCGCTCCAGTTCTGAAACGCTTTGTGAATATGGCTCCCTGTGTCTTATGTGAATGATTTAAGTAAGAATCCTGATCATGGTTCATTGTTTGCATTCATTTCACCAATGATCAGTAGTCTTACTATAAATATATATTTTTAAAGATTGTCCAATGAAATGGCTGCTTGAATCTGTTGCTCTATGCTCTTTTGTGCTGTTTTCTTCAGTGGTGGACAGTAACATGGTATTTTTAACTCACTACTGTGCTTAGAAATTATTAAGTACTTGAGTATTGTATTCAGTATTGATTATTGTGATTCTAAAAGACAATATTGTAGTTTTTAGCCACATTTGATTGGTAAACTGACCAAACTTGTCAGTTAACCAGTTATTAAGTGCACAAATTGCAGTGAACAGTTTTTTTTTTTAATTTGACTTATTCAGTTGCTTCTGTTCTTGAGTAAACAACTCACTGATTCAAATTATCCATTTAGAGTGAGTCTCAAGTTAACAATTCACTGATTCAAATGATCAATTCCGAACAAGTCTGCAGTTAGCGACTCAAATGATTCAAATGATCCTCCCAAATAGAGTTTGCAGTTAACCATTCACTTAATTTATAAACTGATTCAAACTGAGTCTGAAATGGGAGACCATTTCTATTGGCACATCATGATTTTGCCAAGTACAATGTGATTCTGGATTAACATCTAAAGTATGTTGATCCTGAAACATCATTTTTGTTCAAAAATGTAATCCATACATATTCCCTAACCCTAAACCTAACCATAACTCTAAATCATTCCTGAAATCTGAGGGGAATAACAGTTGGATAAAAAAATGTAGACGTGCATAAACCTAATCGTTAGCCTGAACTTAACATAAACAGGTAAATGTACACTGTAAAATGTTTCACTTGGTTAAAGTTCACCTGCTGCCTTGAAAATGTGAGTCAACTCAACTTAGAGAGATTCTTTGTTTCAATTTAAGAGGTTGAGTTTCACAATATATTTAACTAAAACTCAAGATCTTAAGTTGAAACGAATCTCTCTAAGTTTAGTTGACTCACATGTTCAAGGTAGCTGGTGAACTTGAGTTTGTAAGTTTAACCAATGTGAAACTTTTTACAGTGTATCCTTTAATTCTGATTGGTTGATAGGAATGTTGTTCCAGAATCAACATAGATGTTAATCCAGGAACATGTACTGGGTGAAATCAGGTTGAGATGTCTGTTGATAGTGAACGTGCTTATTATAATTAATTATTGCAGAATTTTTTTATTTATTATTATAATAAAACTAAAATCTAAAATATCTAAAATCTAAGCACATTAATGAAATCTTACAAGTAGGTCTTATTTAAACTTAATGTTATAATTACACAAAACAATGCCACTGTTGTGGCACATAATAAATTTACATTTTGTATTATGCCACTATGACTTACTTTTATATTGTATAATTATAATGGCCTGTTTTCACTCAGAACGCTTTTAAGGCCATTTCCATTGTCAAAAGGTACCAAAAAGCGAACCGTATATCAAGGGTACCTAGCAGACAAAATGGTACCAAAAGGCGGAGCTAGATGTGCAGCTGAATGCTATTGGTTTACAGAGATGCATCACTAGCGTGTACACAAGCCAGGAGAATGAAAACAAAGGAAGCGTCATTATTAAACACACAGTTGGGACATTACACCGTATTACTATATGCATATAATAACAAGCCATGGTCGAGCCGAGCTTAAACAAACCTTGTCATCACAAGAACAAAATCTGCCATCTCCTGTTGTTGTTTACAAGGCTGTTAAAAAGTGTGAGCGGTTTCACTTTCTCCAGAGAGCTTGTGATTACTCATCGCACTTACATTTGAAATAATTAATTTCTTGAGCGGATGATAATAACGTGCGCGTGATTATTAAAGTGCTTCTGACATCCGGTCCTTTCAGGAACGGACAAACACGAGTGTGAAGCATGAAAAAACAAAGGAGAAGCCGGAAAGAACAAAGGAGCAAACGATTATTTCAGCAACCTAAAACATGAACAAACTGTTGGTACCCTTTTGGCAGTGGAAATGCAAGCCTGATAAAGATGACCCATACCGACCCGTACCATACTGTACCGTACCACTCAGTGGAAACGGGCCATAATTGTCCGCACATATTTACACACATATTGTGTTTATTCAGTTTTAAAATATACTAAGCTATATGGTATATTTTGTTGTTTTCATTTATTTGCATTTATTTGGCAATATATTTATTAATTATTACATCTATGAATAAGAACATTTAACTTTTAATACAGAAGAACAAAAAAAAATCTGGTACTATTGTACTTTGACTTTATACTTTTATTAGAGGGATATTTCATTGAGTTATCTGTAGTTCTACTCAAGTTTTTGATTTGTGTACCTCGTCCACCACTGGTTTTACTTGAATTTTGCAATGCCTCTTGGTGAATGAAAATAATCTGTGTTCGCTTGGAATGAAATTGTTGCTTATTTTTCCAAATGCATTGTGCATTTGCTTTCATTTACTCAAATGCAAACAAGATGAAAAAAATCCCATCTGCCTTGTCTTTCCTACCCTCTCATTCCATTCTCCATTTTCCTTTCTGGTTTTTCCACCTCCTTTCC